TAAATAAAAATAATTACTCTATAAATTAGAGTATGTCCGACATATTTTAGAATTTAAATTCGAAAACTTATTCTTCTTGAGACCAATTTTAGCCCCTTTGCCATCATGATGCTATTTATTATCACTCCATTCTACCCTAATGCTAAATATTTTTTTTTTATTAATTCAGTTACCCATTAAATTTATCTTTACCTATTTATTACCAAATAATTTTTATCAATTTTTCACAGCAACATTTTTTATTCATAAGACTTTAAATAAATTTATTAATTTCAAACCATTTTTCAATAAATAAATGACTAAACTTTTGAAAAATATCAGTGTAATTTTTTTTATCATTATAATTGTGTTAAATTGATTTCTCTGATAAACCGAAAAAAATATTTAAAAGTCATTTAAAAAATATAAATAAGTTTTTAACAGTACCAGTTGGAGTATAGAATAATTATTTCAATTAAATCAAATATTCTTAGAAATACCGTTGATTAAATTAATTTATTATAATTAATATAAAATATATTCTATGGTAGAGCGTAAGGTATAAATATTTTTTTTTTATTATAATAAAATTCCTATAAAGTTGAAGCCATTATACTATTCACTTTTCTCGAGTAATTGGAATAAATATTTCAAATAAAATAAAACTATTATTAAACATAATATTATATTGAGGTAATCATAAGTGTACAAGGATTTGATATATCCTTTTAGATCACTTACTTTGGCAAACTGATTTTATTACAGCCAATAAATAAGTCACAATTATTTTTATCAAAAAGTAGATCGATAAATTATCACAAATTTATTGTCGAGAATTTCTATTATAGCTGTTTAATATTCTGACTTTATTTATCAAGTTTGAACCCTTTCTAGTCACCTCGTAACCATTTCGTAATATATTTTTAACTAATTATGATTAATAATGTTATCATTAAAACATAATTTTTCTTTGCCTCCATTAATGTTTTGTTCAATTTGTATTGCACTTTTCACTAACGGTAGTTCTGTTAATAAATTATTTATTTGATAAGAGGAATGTTTAATTAACGGAGAGCCTTGATATGATCAATAAAATTTTTGATTTAACGGTAATGATATAAAGAGTACCAAAAAGAAGAGAATGCTCGACAGAGTCAGAATGTGCAGGGGGATATATGTATGGCGACCTAATACGTGTGGGTCTGGAAGCATTAGTGAATATTTGAGGCCTACAAGAAAACCCTTCTACAAGATCGGCGCCGTGGCGCCTTAGTCGAAGTTCTGGCCATCCTATTGGAATAATCTCTTAGTATTACATATACACATACATCTTGACGTATATATAATAGCTCAAAGATTAAGAGAAATAGGTGGCTTAGCTAATTCATTTGATAAATATTGAAAAAAAAGAGAGAGAAAAAAATAATAATTGATGTTTAATAAAAATTTATTGTTAAATAACCAATTTACTAGTGTTTTACGGTTTATTTATTTATGTATTCATTTGGAAAGATTAAACTAAAAATATGAAGTAATGTAAAAAAAACGTAAATAACATAAATGTATTGAGATATATAACAAAAATATTCCATTAGTGCTATCGAGTTTTATTTTCAAGTGATGAGTCTTCTTTTACATTCTCCTTTCAAAGGATCAATAAACCCATAGATCCTAAAAGATGCTCGTTTGACTACATTAAATGGATATTTAAGATGCGTTTAATGTCTTCCACTTGGTCTAAAAGTTTTCTCTCTTGTCTCTATTTTACTCGACTCGTTTTACCTGACTCTAAATCTTCAATTTTTGGAGAAAACTTTGATAGAAGAGTTTTTAGTTGAAAATGAAGGTATAGAGGTGTATACCAGTTAGTTAAATTAGTTATAAATCCCTAAGTTATACCTTGGTCTTTCTCTTGTTGATGATCCTCTTCTTGATACTACAGCCTCACTAATCTGACCAAAGATGGGACCAGTCGGCGCCAAAAACAGGAGTGTTTCTGGCGCCGCTACTTTGAGTCTCCACCAAACCCTGGAAAATGTCGTAATTATTGTCAACCAAATTGTGGGAAGAGTCTTTTTTTTTTTAATGTTGATCTGTTCTATTTTCTTCTCGTACATTCACTTGATTTATGACACTGGTAAATAATTCAGTGCATTTTAGAAAATATTTTCTAATTATTTTTTATCCACACACATATATATAAATCTTTCTTCATAAAAATACGCCTGTAAGTAGAACCTGATTCACAAGTTTATCAGTAGTTGTTGATAAAAATAAACAATTACACAAATAAACATCTAGTTTATCATGGGATAATGAAATAATAGGTATCATTAAAAATAATATGAAGAGGGTTAAAAAAATAATTCCGTGATAATGAAAGAAATAATTTGACTCCAAAAAGACTAGTGGTGATGGCAAGAAAGAAAAGACAACTCATTAGTTGTTATATTTGAGTTAGATAAATAATTACAATTGTAAATGAATGTATCATGGAGTAGCATGGAAACTAAGTCATTGATTACTTGTTGCACATGTATAAGTTAACTATCGTTGTTTAAACTTGCAGGTGAGACACGATAAAACCGGCATTACTGGATTAGAGAAATCAGAAGAGTTTATGTACCTATTCATTAATTTGTATGTCTAGCTTTGAAGGGAATTAAAAATTTCGAAAATATCAACTAATTAATAAATAATGTTTAATTTGTTTTAAATGTAAATTAAACTTACAGTTAAACCTTTGAGCGTGAGAATCAAAGATGATAAATAAAATAGATTGACAAATCAAGTAATAAGAGTACATTGATTTTTTTTAGGAAAATATTATTTTATTTTCTTATGTATAAAATATCGTGAATTAGTGTGTACTTATGTATGCATGTAGATGCACAAATGGTGAATTTATGTGAAAATGTTTGCAAATAATTGTGAATCTCGAAGAAGTTTAAGGGGAACGTTGGTCCCGCCTACACGTAGTTGGTATTCGTGGCCGCGATGGCCGCTATCCTCGGTTCACAAGCAATAGCCAACGGAGGTGGAGACGAGTTTGCTTTTTTATTTTCTTTGTGTTCACTTGCTTTTTCTTCCCATCTCTTGTAGCTTCCCATTCTATCTCATTCTGTCCCTCTGTATAACTTGTGAGTTTCTCTCCCTGATGGGGCAATAAATAACATTGGGATGCAGTTGGATTGGCCGAACGTTCGACCATGGCGGTTGTAATACTGTACTTGATGATGTGAACTCAAGATATTATGATCTCATGGTGAAAATGTTAATCCATAATAAATGTTTATTAATAAATGAATATGTCGTATAAATTCATAATTTCATTCCACACTGATAACCATTTATTATCTGTTGTTTTTTATTAGTTGATTAGAATCAAATATTCACGCTACTTTACGTGAAAATATCTCGCAATTCAAATATTTATTCTCACTTTAATGTCGAACGTGGAAATGAGGAATATGGAGAATTTATTTCATTTCAATGTTTCTTTTTTGTTTCAATTATTTTGATGGTGTTTATAAATTTAATGCGATCAGAGGATTGCGGAATTAAATAAGGCTTCCTTAAAAATCTAGTTTTGGTCTTTTCATTTGCCAATTCATGTAAATATTTTGATTATATCCCTGAAAAAACAGTATTTTTAGATCAAAGATCATTTCATTCTTGATCATAATATTCTCAGATAAAAAATATGAAGTATTTGCAACGAGAAAATGATAATTAATGTACTGCATAACATGGATGAAAATAGGATTATAACAATGATGGCAGGATGAAGGCATTTCTGCTGGAGACTGCTCAGAAGAATCAAAAACATACTCAAAAAATTATGATTTAAATATATAAATAATAACCATACCGCAAAATAACCGTCATCATGACATTTATTTTTGATAAGTAATTACTATTTAATAATTATGACTAACAATTGCCAAACTGGTGCAATTAACTTGCATATAATGTACTTGCAGGAAAAGTTTTTGTAGTCATTAGTGTACTTTGATTCCATCATCATTCTACCATGACTTTATTTTCATTTTTGTTATGTAGTACATTTATTAATGTTTTCTGGATGCACTTATATGGAAAAATATATTTTATTTCCAAAATATATGAAAATATTATTATTCGGCCAAATCTTGTATAATTTAATATAAAAACATCTATAATTATATAATTGACTACACTGCAAATCTTTAATTAGTAAGTGTTTTATTTTGATGCACTTAAAATGTTTTAAAATGACATCAACCATTTGATTAACATTGTAGTCACTTTTTAAACACTTTCCAATGTATTAAAAGTGACTGCAATGTTAATCAAATGGGTGACATCATTTTAAAACACTTTTAGTGTTTTAAATTAAAACACTGCAATTTGCAGTGTACATAAATATGTTTAACTAACTGACCCGTGCGAAAATTTCGCCCAATGTTGTAGTTTAATATTATATGTTAATATAATTTGAAAATAAGTAAATATATAAGCTTTTGATGCTCTAAAAATTATTCGCATAAGTTATTAATTTTGGTTATGTATTTATAAAGGTCTAAGCTTTTCAGGAAAAGACACCTTTTAGAAATAATAAATATAATTATATTTTTTTATATTTGATTTTATACAAGATTTGCCCGAAAAATTATACCTTAATATATTTTTGAAATAAAATATATATTTTTTTATATGTACAAATACTCTATATATTTTTTATCTAAGAATATTTCTATTAAAAATGAAATGATTCTCGATCCAAAAGTAGTATTTTTTTCCAGCGTAATCAAAATATTTTACTCCAAAGCTATTCAAAGTCGTAAAAAATTTTTTTTCCAAATAACCTGTTAGCTAAACATTAATCTAAGTTCATTGATGCTAAAATTAATCGAAAATGATTAAAAAAAACTATCTTTACTCCAAAAAAATTTTTTTTGGAGTCGATTTTTTTCTGTTATGCTTAATAATTTAATGAGCTTGTTTGTCTAATAAAATTGTTTGGTTTATATATTTTTTAGCCACAGCAAATGCCGTAACAGCTCTCGGGATGTTCCACGGGAGCGGAAGTGGTGGTTACGGCACGGGAACCGACTACCAAACTCAATCCCAACAACAGCAGCAACAGCAACAACAACAGCAACAGCAGCAACAACAACATAATCAACAGCTTCAAACTCCTGTATACGTTCCTTCATCGAGACCTGCAATTCCATCAGCAGCTACGGCGCAGTATCACTCATTTCCTAGTTCCGCCTCGCCCGCATGGTATCTATTTACCCTATTTATTTTTTATTACAACTAATACGGTGATGAATAGAATATAATACCGGTCATAACTGTTTATATTGAGTGCCATTACCGATAGAAATTATCTCGACAACTTTTCTGTTCTATTTCTGGTCTATAAATTTGATCGCCGTTTTATCTTGTGATTCAATTTTAAGGGAAAAAACGACATCATGGCAACACAGTGTCGATACTTATGCTCACCATGCTCTTGCTGGACACACTGGAGGATCGACGGCAGGAATGGGAGCTCATGGAGGACATGCACATCCTCATGCTGGTCATCCTCACACTGGACATCCACATTCTACACTAGCGTCTCCATTTTATGCTCAAAATGTTGCTATGATGTCTTCTTGGAGAGCATATGACAGTGCTAGCTTTCAACGTGCTTCCCCTTATGGTGAGAATCTTTTTTTTTTATGCTACCATGTTTCTTAAAACTCAAGTCTTAATTATAAACAGGAGTATTTGTGATCATCTTCAATTCATATAAGGCAATGACTGTAATATTATAATGCTAGAGCTACTAATTTTTAAATTACAATCGAAGTTTTATTTTTAGAGAATGCTAAGCTCTTTTTTTTTCAGTATGTATGGCTAAGTAGTGTGTATGTAAATATTATATAGCATCATCTAGCCATTGCAATATGTATATATATATATATATATATGCAAAGGAGAACTGTGATATAGAAAAACAAAAGTAGTGGACTACTTGCACTACGCGGACGATAAGATATCGTGCAATTTCCTACGGTGCGATTACTTATCAACTTCACTACGGGGGGGAAATGTTATCTTGAATGCGGGTTCGTTGAGAGAAAGATAGACAAACAAGTTGACTAGACTAGAGAAAAGGGTGATGCCGTTTAGCTCTATGAATTTTTTCGGTTTTCTATAAAATTGCAAACTGCTTAGTTCACATTAATAAAGACTCTAAAGAGCATCCAGTTATTCAGGATATTACATGTAAACTTTAATCCAATTTAAACTTGTATTTTTTTTCGATTGAATAAAAATAAAATTTTTTAGTAACGACAAGTTTACTTTCAAGTCAATCAGTCTCATAAAAATTCTCAAGTCTTAATAAAATGAAATTTATGTAATAAATAATAAAAATTGTAGAGAGAAAAATAAATAATGATGTAGTTGGTTACAAAAATGATGTGAAAATAATTTTTTCTTACAATAAGCAGAAGCAGTTAATCGCATAGGCCATGTGCACTAAAAAAGAAAAAAAAAGAAATAAGTGATAGCGGCATCTTTGTAAGATTTCTCGAGTGTTTCCCGATGCAGCTTAACGAAGTTTAGGTGCACTTAAAAACACACATGATACTCATTTATGTTTTGAACCCAGAAACCGTGTAACTATAGACTTCTCGCAGAAGTCAATCTTATTTAGATCAAAATTACCAGATGACCGTGAAATATTACCACTTGGTTATTCAAGTAATCAACTCTATCTTGCTTCCTGATAAATTTCAAGTATTTTTGAGATTAAAAAATTAATGATCACTCAAAGTGGACTATTTTACTTATTGACTTTTTTCAAATTCCTGTCTATTTTTAAATATTTTCTTCCAAAATAACTTTTACTGAGTTATCAATCGAGCATGCTTCATAGTAGATCACTCACTTCTACCTAGATGGCAGAATTTACTGAAACATACACGGGAAAAAAACGAACGAGAAATTTATGTAATTATTAATTGAAATTAAGGTAGTTATCTCCCGAGAGTTTGTATCAAAATTCATTATGCCCCAGTCGAATAGAATTAATTATATATGAAAAAAAATATCCAAACTTCTATGAAGTTATATTCAGATCCCTCCATTCATTCCTTTTTTGTTATTAAGCTTTATTTTTTCTAATTAAAAAAATAATTTGATTGTTATATATAAACATATATAAACTACCATTAAGTATTTTTTTGATGGCTGCTTGAAAAAAATTCTGACATTTTTTACTCAAAAATTCATCATAAAAATGGAGTTAAGGTAGTTATCAAAATTCATTGTGCCCCAGTCGAATAGAATTAATTATATATAAAAAAAAATATCTAAACTTCTGTGAAGTTATATTCAGAAATTATTTATAATGTGAAATAAATAATATTCAATAATATTTGGAAAGTATTATTAATAATTTTTTTTCTACAATTTGAAACAATTCTTTGTACAGACATGTACCAATACATCGACATTACTTATATGTATGTACCACCACATTACTATTCTTCCATTTGTTGTCGGATAATTAATTTTAATAATTTTTTGTTCAATAACTGAACGTCAAAATTGTATGAAATTTCACTGAAGCATTAATTACATATTCATTAATTTTATGATTTTTTTTAAACGTAATCGTAAATTCTGTTTTGGAATATTTATTGAAAAACTATCACGAGTTACCTTCCACCTTTAGACTGCATGGTAAAATCGCAATCTTCCATTGCAAATATCTTCATTTCTAGATGTCAGATCTTTTTTGTTCAGAGGAAAAAAATGTTCATTTTTTGTTATTCTATAAAAATGATGCGGTTTAAAAAAATTTTTAAGTAATCGCTCTCGCTGGATAACTACCTCAACACAAAAGTTAGTAGGCTTTTAGTAATCTAGAAACAGTTTAAGTTTTTATTAAAAATTTCAAAGCTTTTTAGAAAAATTACGATTGAGTGAACATTAATTTTTGAAATCCACATGTTATATTTTTACAAAGTAGATATTAAAATGACGAAATTAATACACTAAATTAACACGAGTTTGTAAAAATTGTCTGAAAAACATCATTTCTTCATAACTACTTTTAATAATTCATGAAACTAAAAGTATATCTTAGTATACCGGATATGTTCATATTGACAATCTCTTAAGAAGTATTTCTATTGTTTTGCTTCGCTAAAATAAATTATATTTTTCCAATAATCATATAGTTTTTAATTGATTAATTCAATGCAGAAATTAATTTTTAATATATACTTAATAAAAACTGTGACATCCAAATAATTACAGTCTAGAATAGTAAATTTTCATAATAATTTCTCATTTATTGCTATAAAAAACTTCATATTTCTTTTTGGAGTTCAATTTTTATTTAATTCTTACAAATTTTGCTAAAATTCGAGCTCGTGTTTTTTCTGTGTGCATTTTTTAAAGCATTTAATCAATAATTAATTATTTATTGGCTTAAAAAATGTTGAAAAATTTTCTATTCAATTACTCAATATTCATTACAATCAACGATTTGTACAAATAATTTAATAATTCCAAAATAAAATGAACGTTTAGAATACTTTCGAGCTGTTGGAAACGAATTCATTAAAGGATATATTTCCAAACCTTCATATAACTTAACAAATTTTTAATCCAACTAAAAGTGATTAAATAAAATAGTAATTTAAATTCTGTATAAAGCGGCGAGTTCCATCAAAGGAATCTAGATTACATTAAAGCCGTTGTTTAATTTATGTGTTGCAGATACGGCGATGGACTTTCAGTTCGCCGAGGGACGCGAGTGCGTTAATTGCGGTGCAATTTCCACCCCATTATGGCGACGCGACGGTACTGGACATTATTTGTGCAATGCTTGTGGGCTCTATCACAAGATGAATGGCATGAATAGGCCTCTTATAAAACCATCCAAACGCCTTGTAAGTATTAAAATATATTTCTACAAACATTACACATCTTTTATTACTATTTTTCGCAAAACTTTTTTTTTTATTCTCCCTAATAACGGTGAAAGAAGCAGATATTAATAATATAAATAATATTAGGTTGTCCAAATATAAATCCGCCATTGCGATCAAACTTTCAAGAAATTATAAAAATATTTTAGAAACATTTAGACTGGGGTTTTACAGAAATAGCAAGCTCGCAATCGTTGGCAGCAAATCGTGAATAACAAAGGCGAATATATGAGTGCGACATGATTATTAATTTGATTTAAATAAAAAAATAATTTTTCGACATGGAGGATTTATATTTGGACCACCTAATAGTTCATTGATTGTTATTAATAATTAATTAAATACAAAAAAAAAAAATTATTAAAAATATTTTAAATTGCTTGCAAATATGCAGAGGTTAGAGCATTTAAAAATATTAACATTCTGACGTCTTCTTTTATTTAAATAAATTGCAAACATCTTTTACACTCCTCCAAGGCTATAAAAAATGTTTACAACATACAGCATTTAAATGAAAGAAAACTCCATGATGTGTGAAATTATGCGGCTCCTTGAAGCAATGAATTTGCGGTTGTTTTCAATGACTCGAACAAGACAGTGTATTATTTGTAGTAGTGAAATATTGATCATGCATTAATGTTACAATGTTTAGTAATTGCGTAAAGAAAACAAAAGATTGAGATAAAAAAAATATGGAAAATGGTACATTGTTTATTATCTGGCTTCTTTTCGTTATATTTATACGATTTACTACAATTATTTATCACCGATCGACAACCGTAATTGGCAATGGAACAGATTTCCGAATTCCAGACGGCGACCAGACGACTTGGACTTTGCTGCACCAATTGTGGTACACGCACTACAACTCTTTGGAGGCGTAACAATGAAGGGGAACCAGTTTGTAATGCATGTGGTCTTTATTTTAAATTACACGGAGTAAACCGACCTTTAGCCATGCGTAAAGACGGAATACAAACACGTAAACGCAAACCGAAAAAGACACCGGAAACTAATGCGTCTCGAACATCTTCCGGACATGAACATGAGACTTCCACTTCTACCAATTCATCGCCATCAAATGGTAATAATTTATTCAATCATTTCTTTAATTAAATTAAAAGAAAATCATTATCAATGTTAAAAGACTTTTATACAAAGAATAAATTTTAAAAGATCTGATAAATAGACTTTAAATAAATTTTTCATTCTTTCTTTTGAATAAATTCAATTGTATCTAGATTTAAATAAGGAATTTGTAGCAAACTATTTTCTAAATAATTTCTAGATTTAAAAAATAGTCAACAGCATCAAATAGAGTCAGCAAAGTCATCATCATCTTCATCTTCATCATCCTCATCATCAATATCAACTGATAGACCAGTGTATCTAGGTCATACATCACTATTAGCAACTGGTGGAGTACCAGCAGTAAAGACAGAGCCACGAAGTTGTGATGGTTTAGTTGGACAAACATATTCTTCTTATTATCAACATCCTCATCAATTAGATACTCCTACCAGTGAACATCAACAGCCCCAAAATTATTACAATGCTCAGGACACTTATCATCACCAACATCATGTAGCTACTGCTGCTAAATTGCTTGCTTCTACTTAGAAAATTATAGATAATGCTAATCAATGATTTATGTACTAAAATTGAGTACTCGATGTGTGATATTTAAGTTATATTTTTTGCACACGCCATACTATCTTCATGTAAAACACCTTTTAATTAAAAATTAAAAGTTAATAATTTAATTTTAATCGTTGTCGTTTTTGTAAATACTTTGAATAAAAAAAAAATTTATAATTACTATGTACTAACCCATAAATTTATCTAATTAGTACATAATTTTACTTTAAGTAAACTTTATTATTTAATCTTTTTTTTATGATACAAAATTTGTCATTATGCTATCATTATGTTATGTATTATTAAACAGACTTACATCGCACTTGTAAATATAACTAAATATCAAGAGTATCATGTTTTTTTCAGTATTTACTAAAAAAAAAATGAAATAAATGTAAGAAAATATTATTAAATAATAAACATTAAATTAATAGTGTACAAAAATCATGAAAATTTTTTATTTCTTTTATGTACTTAGTTGCAATAATAATTTGTTTTTAAATAATTCGAGGATATTTAAATAATGTTGATGGATAAATTTTTTTTAAATATATCATTATGGAAAATTATATAAAAATCGTCAATAAATTAGATTGATGCGAAAGGCAGACTTTCAAGTAAATATTATTCTATCGGTCTCAGGCATCACAATGATTTACTTAACAATTCCTACACTTCTCAACCCCTTCTTCCATCAACCCCGTAGGAAATCAACGTTGACGTGATAACCTGCCGACATTTACAGACAAACTCAATTCACCTTTCGATCGGATAACAAGTCAGTTGGGTGTGATATTAACTTTTTATTATTTTTTATCATAAAAATAATGGGTAAGTCGTATTAAAATATTTTTTTAATTTTATCCGAAGCAGTCATTTAATTACCAAAATTAAACTTAATGTTTTATTTTAATAAATCCAATCATTAAACACTTTTTTTGTGTATTTTATCTTGCATTTAAAGTATTTCTTCTATAAAGTGCTTTTTTTTAACTTGAGATTTAAGTTATTATTATTGGAAAGTAATAAATTAAAGATATTATTTAAAATTAGGACGAACATTACCAAGTCCTGTACCATGTAAAGTTTGTGGTGATCGTTCTTATGGGAAACATTACGGAGTGTACAGTTGCGATGGTTGTTCTTGTTTTTTCAAAAGATCTGTTCGTCGAAAAATCACTTATACTTGTATAGGTATATACAAAGTTACACATTTTAATATTTAAAATACAATAATGATAAAAAATAGAAATTAATGAGCAATTAAATCCAGCTGGAACAGGATCTTGTTTAATTAATAAAGCAAGAAGAAATTGGTGTCCTCATTGCAGACTTAAGAAATGTTTTGAAGTTCATATGAACACTGCAGGTAAATTGTTATCATTTTATATATTATTATTTTTATCAAAGAAAATCGATTGACTAAAAAAAAAAGGTAGTCAAAAAATCAAAGACTCGACGTTTTGTAATATGTAGAAAAAGATTGGGAAACTTGACAAAGTAAACATTAGCCGCGTGGCTGACACATGCTTGACCAATAATAAAGGATGTGTCAATAACAATAATTGACAACCCACTGTAGATTAAACTAACAAAATCGAGATTCGGTAAACAAATGATGTCGATGTTACACGTATTCTAATAGTAGATATTAATTTTAGTCATGCTCGTGTTTATTCCAAAAGTCATTCCAACGATTTATAACTTTACCTATATTTTTCTGAATAAACAAATAAATTTATTATTATATTTTTGAATATTTCTATTTTTTTGTTACTAAAATATATTTAAGTACATAAAATTTATACTTCTAAAGCTGTACAAGAAGAACGAGGTCCTCGGTCAAGAACTGGAAACAAAATACCACAGTTAAATTCAACCAATTCATGGAGTTCACATGAAACATTGCTAATGGATCCTTTCAACGGTCAAATAAACCCAGCTTTTAAATTAAATGAGATCGATAAAACTCATGATGTTGCGATTTTAGCAAATACATTCAATCAAGCATTTGTTGAAAATCCAATCCACCCAAGAATCATATCATCGGGTAATAAAAATGTTCAAATGTAAAATCTCTAGATTTAATGATGATATTATTGTTATTTAAAAGAAATTTTGAATATTTATAAACAAGGAGAAGCAGTACAGTACGAAGTAGCTGCCCAAATATTTTTATCAGCTATTCGTGGAGCTCGTCGCCACAAGGACTTCTCGAGAATCAGTATAACAACCCAGAACTGGATATTGCACCACAATTGGTCCGCCATATTTATTCTAAAAGCTGCACTGTGGCCAGTTGATTTGACGGAATTCCAATTGAGAAATGTTATAGTTAATAAAACGATCACGAGATATTTATCATCAACAAGGGCTATGATTTCGAAACTAGAACTCACCGAAGTTGAACTATCATGTCTTGAAACATTTGCTCTATGTCGTTCTGGTAATTCAATTATAAACTTTATCACTTATTTGTCAATTGGAAATATTAATTTTACTCCTTTTAGAATTAACTGATTCCATCGAAGACTTTGCGGTTATGAATAATGCTCAAAGATCAGCATTGAGATTATTAAGTGATCATATCGAAGGACGAGTGGATGATTTTCAAAGGATAGCAGAAATCATTTTGATTCTACCAATATTATTTGCTTGTTGTTCAAGAGAATTATCATGTACTTTTTTTACACCAGTCATTGGTGATGTTAGTCTTGATCAAGTGATTGCTTCTATTCAATAAAAATTAATAATTTACAAATATTTTCAATCATTAAAAACCTTTAGGAAAAATTAACTGCTTTTTATCATTCAAAATAATACTTACAGCGTTCCCTAGATGTATGTTCGAGGGATGAATAAATATTTCCAATGCAAAGTATTCAACATGTCCATGTAACCTAACTACACAAAGCTTTTGGCTTAAATTACACTCACTTAGATTAATTTAGAAAATTAATAATTGGCAATAAAGTTTATTTGAATTAAAATAACTATGTATGGTCCATCATCAGTCAATCAACCATTGTTGATAGATGTTAGAAGACTAAAGTCCTGCCATCTGATAAAGATACACTTGGTTCTGGTACTTCATGTTCGAAACATGTGGTTGACAGCTGAATTCAGTTCGCCTCGTTTGCAGTACAATAAAAATGGTAACAATGGAGAGGGTAATAAGTTTGGAAAGAGTCCTAAAAATGAGAGAAATTAAGTTTTCTTAGATTGGATAAAAAAAAAATAGTGACGAATAAACAGAGGCTAAAGACTAAAACAAGATCTGGAATCATTCAGACATGGACAAAGTATTAAAAAAATTCTTCACTTTGTTCTGATCTATCTGAGTAATTTTCAAGAACTATCTCCAATCAATCTAGCTGTTGTATTTAATTTAACAAGAATTATGTATCATAAAGAATTTTAATTCATCATTAATAATTTTCATTATTCAATCTTGATCTCATTTATACTCTTTTCTTATCTGTTAGGCATAAAAAAAGCTACTAAAAGTGAATAATCAATTTTTTTAATCAACCAATTCAAACAATGGATCATAACAGTAATGTTAGTAAATGTACATTACAAATGTAATGTCGGTATTGTTGAAAAGAATTGAATTCATTATCAATTTCAATCATATTCCGTTTAATTGATTTCATATCAGGGCTATACGTCGTTTAAATATCATAATTAACTAAGTTTTCTCCTTTTTCTTATAAAATGGACAGGAATCAAGTGAAATTGATTTTGTTATATTTATTTGTTTTTATAATTATTATTATTTCAACATCGAAAGCTTTCGAACTGGGAAAAAAAAGAGTTGTTTCAAGAAATGAATGTAAGTAATAAATTTGAATTTTCTGAAAACTTAATGAAAAAAAGACATTAAAACGGTAATTTTTTTTTTTCTTTGAAGGTAAAAGAACCCAGCCATTAGTCGAAAATTATGATAAAAATGGTGTTCAATATTTATTTTTTTCGGAACGGGTTACATGGGAAGAGGCACAAATGCTTTGCAATAGCTATGATTCACAGTTAGCAGTATTAAATACGAAAGATAAAGCATTGTTTATAGCTCGTTTGCTATCAGAATCAAATATAGGTTATTTTTCAATTTTAATGAATTAAGAAATTTCATTTATATTCTTTAGCCATCTTCGTTAAAATAAAGATCTGATAATTCACTTTAGAAATGAATGATGCATGGATCGGTGGCAGAAGAATCAACTTTGTGTGGTATTGGATGGACAAAGATATAGAACCATGGAATCACGTGATATTGATGGAACCAAATATTGAAAATTTTCCACCATGGAGTCGAAAACCTAACAGACCGACGAAAGAATGTCTTGCAGTCAACCGGCAATCGCATCAAAATTCTAGTTTTATTGACATTGACTGTCGACTTCTTAAATCTTTTATTTGTGAAAAGAGTTTGTTTTGAATTCTTTCTTATGCTTTCTTTGTCATTGTTAGCTCGTTCTTTATAAATGTTGTGACTATAATCACTCTTAAAATGTCTAGAAACTGAAGGCTTGATAAACAACCCAATTCCATCAAAGTCAATACTCATAAATAAGAGCACATTTATTTTGTATAATGGCAAAGTCACTTGGCAAGAAGCTGCGATATTTTGTAGAGCAAAAGGATTTCGACTGGCAATCGTTAAAAATTTAATAACTACACACCTTCTGGCTAACAGTATGACAAAAAGCAGACCAGGTTTGTTATAAGAATTTATTATAAAAATAATTTTGGATAATGCTAAAAAATGTTAGATTCCAATTGATAATCAAATTCATTTGGTTTCAATAATTGTGTAAATTATTTTTTATCAAGTATTCTTGAATTTTAATTGAGTTCCCGACATCGAAATCCGACGGTCGTAGTGCACGGAAAACATTCTAAAAGCTAATCTAAATCGAAAAAATCTTGTTTCCAAGGCTCTAATAGATTCAGATGAATACTCATTAATTTTCAATTTTCATCATTTAATCGAAATATATTTTTTTGAAAATTAATTTATTGTTTATAAAAATTATGTTGAATAGTAAGGAAATAATTTTTCTGGGATAAAATATTAACAATACTTTATTACAGTTTATCAGTATCATGGTTTAATGGAATTTTTGTAGATTTTGAAAAAATGTGGATTGGAGCACACTTTAACTACGGACAATGGGTTTGGCTAGCAACCGGAGCGATTTTAAATACCTTCACTGATGAAAGTGGATATCCACCTTGGAGATTTGGTCGCCCGGAAGAAAATGATGGATGTTTAGTTTTAGACAAGCACATTCAACTCAACTCAACGTTTATCAGTACATCTTGCCATAATAAACGAGATTTTATTTGTGAGCAATGTAAGTAAATGGATTTTTTTTAGAGATAATTACATCTCAAGTCAATATACCAGTCATTAATACTATAAAAAGTAAAAAAATTAAAAGAAAGTATTACTAATCGTAATTTTATCTTATATGCATAGAGAGCTGAAGCTAAAATTTTTTTTTAAACAATTAATATAGATTTCGACACGGATGACAATGATTGGTGGAACGAGCCACTTAAGTTTACACACAATAACAACACTTATATAATTTATCCAATCAATAAAACTTGGAATGAAAGTCAGAGCTATTGTAACGATCGAGGAAGTTTCTTGGCTTATTTAGAACATAATGAAACCATTAATCTAATAATTGATGCAATGGGTGATCATCCTCAAGAAATATCTCACATTTGGCTCGGTGGAAAATATAACAATAAATTAAATGAATGGTTTTGGATTGGAAATGATAAAAAAATTGATAATAGCAATGGCACAAACTTAGATAAGTATGAGTTTTTACCATGGATTGATTTAGAAGGTGAAAATGAAATTGAAAAACAGAATATTAATTATTGTCTTAATTTGGATCGAATTGATAATGCCAAACCCTACATTTATGGACTAGATTGTAACAGTAAACAATCATTTCTGTGTCAAATATGTGAGTTTTTTAGAAATATTTACTCTTTAATTTTGGAGATATATAGAAAATTATTTGACGATTCATTGTTATGAAATTTTAGCTTGTAAAATTCCTCCAACGGTTAGTAATGGAATTTGGAACTGTAGTAAGTCAATAGAAAATCGGAAATGTAATGTACAGTGTAATCAAAACTATATATTAATGGGAATAAATAACATAACTTGTACTCCGAAAAATGGTTGGATTTCTGGTATCAACTCTTTGGAATTTCCACTTTGTCTGAATCCAATAGACTACTCAATAAAATTGATTGACGCATTAAGTCAGAATATTCAAAAGAGCTCTGCTTATTATTTACTTTTCTATCATTCTACAATAATGAGATCCTTAGCTTTAAAATTCTTTCGATGGTTGTTCACTGCTTTCCCGTACGTTTACATTTATCATTTCTTTATATTTTACGATAGACCATTGAATAATTGGTAAAATAATTGTCTTCTTTTGATTCTAGAGCTTCGAATCATTTAAAAATTGGAATGACAGCATATTTAATGAATCCACCATTTTATGTACCTTTCAATCAAAACGACAGCTGTCCAGTACTTGAAGCTTTACATAAGTTCGTAAATATTGCTGATGAAAAAATAAACATAGTACCTGATATTAATAAATTAAATCAAGAAATTTCAACTTATGACGGAAGAGTAGCATCGATAAGTATGTCTCATGTTGAATAAATATATTGATTACATATTTATAACTTTACGGAAATCTTTTTTAGTTGTCATCATTGATTCTGAACGTGGATTACAATTCAAAGATGCCTTACTCCATTTCAAATCAATAGGACATTACGTTACGATCATTGGATTACGAAAACACCTGAATGATCTTCTTCCTTTAGCAACAATTGGAGCCAATAGAAGACTTAATTTGTATTTATTTGAAGAGGAAGAATTTCAACTCATCATTAATCAACTTGATAGTAACAAAATTACGATTTTTACCTATTATTGAATTTAAATATGACAATGTAATTGAATGAACATTTTTTCCAGAGAGTACAAAGGAATTACGATGTCAGAATCGATTAGATAATAAGTCGGATAAATTAATTGTGAAAATATCTAATGAATTATCTACAGAATCTACCATTTCAAGTGTGAAGAATTCTGACAATACAGAACAACCTGTATATGCTACGCCATTTGAACCTTCTTTTTCTTCGGAAACAAATTTTCCTAGTCCTGATATTACTATTAAACAGAGTACATCCGAAAGCTCAATAGATTCAGAATACAATTATAAAAATCCCGAAATGGAATAGATATTAAATAAACAAATAATAATTTTTTTTTTGTTATTTTTAATTATGTTTATTCATGAATTAATTTTCTCTAAATACAATTTGAAGCATAGCCTGAAAATGTTTTATCCATATAAAATAAAAATACAATAAACAATTTTCTTTGGCACTTTATTAATATTATAATATTAATATGTTTAATTACTCCTTAATACGTAATATGGCTTGTTATACTGATGAAAATAATACACTAAAAAATGATTAGTAATCTTATTAAAAACTATTATTGTTACAAACTATTTAACTATAGATACAAATAAACCCTTACAATAATTGGATTCAACTAAACATTTTAGGATTCAATACTATATATAAATAATATTGATTTATTACAACAAATAATTGATAAATTAGAAAAATTTGTTGATAGGAATTATTTTAAAAAATGCCACTGTAGTAAAATTTTTTTTCTAGCACCTATGATAATTGAAAATATATATGATTGCACCAATATTTAATCTGACTGTCAATAAAAGCTGTCATTTACATGATTATATTCTACTAAAAAATTTCATTATTATTATTATTAATAATGTAAATTTATGTATAACCTGCATATCTTACAAAAGGCAACATTTTTTGATATTATATATCTTTACCTTATAGGAAAAACGATGTCGTCTAAAACTTAGTTTATTTATAAAACAATAAAAAATTATTTATTAGAATTTTTCAAGAAGGCACTATTTGGACCCGAAATAGTTAACACCTTTTTATTCTTTTTTGTATTAATTTGTATAAAGTAATTTCTAAGTTTATTTTTTTTTATACTTACGAAATCGTTCTTCTTCAATTTGCCTACGTAATTGATTTATCAAATTGGTCGGTACGTCCCAGAGCTTGTCAACATTATTGAGCAATGCTTCTGTAACTTGACAACAAATAGCTGCCATATTAACCTGAGCACTTAAATCCCCTCTATCGCGAGGGTATATATAACGAGGAGGAAATAACGAAGGTGCTACAATCATAGCAACGTTATGGATTGACATCTTATTTGAACACTGATTGTCAACAACCAGCTTGAAGAATTTTAAAAGAGACTTTAAAGTACAGCGATGTTCAACTGGCAATAATAAAACCAGTAAGTTTAATGAGTATGATAAATCATTTGGGTTTTTTACACCTAAAATAATGAATAAATTTTTTTGATTAATATGTTTAACAATCTTTAAGATATTATATATGAAATCAATATGAGATTGTTTTATTTACTACTCACCATGACTTTGATAAAAGGCATCAATATATTCAATGGTTAAAAGAGGCTGAGGTAAATCACGTAATAACTTTTTCAAAGCAGCTGATAAATCGTGACAAGGCGTGCGCTGAATCAATTTATCAATCTCTTTTGGTTTAGAATAAAAATCAGTTTCTAATTCAGTGCAAAGAATTTCTATTTTTTGCTTATTTCCTCCAACACGTAAGATTCCTTCTTCTTTTACTCCCCTTTGTGTCAACGCATTAATTAATTTTTGAAAAATAAGAGGAATATTATTTTCTTCATTTGTTAATTGACTGTCACGTAATAATAACGTTGATAAAGACACACCAAATAAGTTACCAGCTAAAATATCATTAAAAAATTATTTTTTCAGAACAAAAATCTTTGATCTTATGTAAATAAATATTAAAAAATGAAGTACCTTTTCTTCTTCGTTTATTTGGTTTTCTCTTAGTTAATGGTAAATTATACTTGTCAAAAACAGCAGTTAGCTCAAGCCATAAAAGAGGTTGTAGACGTGTTAAATCTCTCTGAGACAACAATTCTACATGTTGACGTTCATAATCATCACTGTCTTTATCAATTTGTCTATCTTTCCAAGATTCTGTAGACGATTCATTAGCTCTACACATCTGTTCAAAACTTAAATGTCCATGAGAAGAAGTCCTATTTAATGGATGAGTTATCATCAAATTATCCCTTGGTCTAGATAATCCGTATAAACTACTGTGACTACGTGTGACAGGTGCATGATTATTGCCACTTCTTCGTAACGTAGAGTCTTGAGAATATTCTTCTGATAATTTTCTAGAAGATGTAACATCTATATTTTGATTACTGGCTACTTCACTAGGATCACTTCCACTACGTCTTTGAACAATTGGACGTGCAATATGTATAGTTCCTAATCGTTGGTAAGCAGTTAACTCAATACCTTCACTATCACTAGCAACATCTCCACGATGAGACCAATGATGACCAGTACGTCGAAAAATTTCTTGTGCTGGTAATGGAGTTGAAACAGAGGATGGAGTATTTGTTGACTTTGGTTCCTTGTCTTCATGTGAATTTCGATGAAAAATTGATACAAAACTTGGAACATTTACATTTAAATAATGTGATTCACGAGTAGACACTGGCGGTGATGGTGGAGAAGCACTTTCAGGTGTTTCACCAGACATAGAATCTAATGAATCTGGAGTTGCACTTCTTGACCTTGTTCCAGTGCTGCTCATCTGCAATACATTGTCCTATTTCAATTAATAAGTAGATTCTTTATAATAATACACTGTTTATCTTACTTCAACATCTTTAAATACATCTCGAATGTCAGGTTTACGAGATCGCGTTCGCTGACTGAATCGTTGCCTTACTGTATGATTCAAAGACCTCACTCGACGCTTCACCGCCTCTGCCTGTGCACGAGACAGTGGACGTAATAGAGCACCTAATTCCTCCGCTTGAATTTCTCGTCCAGCTTTCCATGTTTCTGTTAACTCTTCCAGGCCAGCTGCTTTCAACCATTCAGCCTCTTCTTCTCCTTCTATGAAACAATAGTAAAAATATTTTTAATAATTTTATTATCGAATCAATGAAAATATTTATATATAATAGACTAACCGTCATAATTTTTAGGACTGCATTCCTCTTCAAGATAATCATCTAACAATTTCGTTTCTTCGATCATCTTTTGATAGGCTTCCCAATACTCATGGAGATCACTTGCTCCACCAGAAAAGGTCATACTGTGATGTGTCTTGTCCATTTTTCAATATTAATAATTTCTATAAATTTATTTAACAATTAATATATTTATCGAGTAGTCAGTTGCATATTAATTAGATTTCATTGTTATTTCGTTCACATTTCAATATTATTCTATTCATTCTGAAATGATAATAAAATAAATCAATATTGACTTAACAACAAATTACTGTTTAAAGCTGCTGTGTAAAACTAGACGTGATTCACTCAGATATTTAGAGATAACAATGTTTAATCATACAGTTATCAAACTATTATATACAAAATAATATAATAAATATTATGATAACGTTATCTAATTAACAAATTAAGTTAACTCGTTTACTTCTTAAAACAAAGAAAGTTACTCAATATTTTATTTATCGTTGAGCAATATTTTTCATTTATTATTAAGTAATTGTATTTTTTATATAAGATACATTGATATTATTAAATTATCAGTTATTAAGTTAGAAAAAATTGTATTATAACCTTATAAAACCAAGTATAAATCCAATTTCGACGTGTTAATATATAATGAGTAAATCTCACTTTGGAATTTGAAGTAATATAAAGAAAGTCTATGATTAAATTTATGAAGAATTCATTATAGATTCCAAAAAGCGCCCACAGCAACTTAAGATTGCGATATCAACTATACATGACTTGACTTACACTTGTTTGCTTATGCCAGTAATATTGGAAGATGCATACCAATTGTAATTAATGTATGTTAATAGATTTTTAGATGATTAAAAATTTTATAAAAACTCACCCTTATCAAAAATAATTGATAAAAAAATATTATAAAAAATTTAGAACCACTTGTTGCATGTAGAAATATCTTTTTATTAAAAAGACATGACCATAAATCTCGAATCTCATCTTCGTTCGATTTCTTTATCGACTGGTTCTCGAATTTCGATTCGATATGCCGCCAAAAAATTTAAAAATCATAGAAAATAACTGTCATTATAACACTCATAAATGGAAAAATAAACAATGTTAGAAAAATTGTATGGACTTGTAAGAAATTAAATAAATAATTTTATTAATACAATTAAATTTCTGAATAAATAAAATTGTAATGAATTTTAAATAACAATGTCTATTGAGAAATATTATAACTTTTGGAGCATAAATTCAAGTTTACAACAGTAATGGAGCATAATTCCGGGCATTTAGTTCAGTGACTGAATTCACGTTCATACGTTTTCTTCATTGACTCAGTATCATACATACACACACACATACGTATATATGTATACTTAGACATATTCATTTTCAGACATTCTATCTGTCTTCATAAGACGTAGCAATGGATTGTCAACTGTAGACTTCAGTGTAATCAAGTGTTTTTGGAGTTTATGATACAATAATAAAATACCATTATCATTGTAATAATAAAAGTAAATTGAGTTAGCACAAAATGTCTGAGTTTGATGAAAATCCTTTTGGGGAGCCAACTATTAACGATCCTTTCTCCGTAAGTTTACTTACATATTTTATCACTAGTTATATTATCGTAATCTGATTCATACGATATTTAATATTATCGACTATTTGGAAGTAAAAAATTAAATAGTTGACTTGAGGCATTAACTTGAACTAATTAATTTAATTTTTTTAAATACTCTTAATTATATGTACTTATACAATGTAGATTTGAATATATTTCAGTAACCTAATGATTCATAGAAATGAGAAAAAATTGTTATCAGTTTATTTATTGTTTTTTTATATTTATTTCATTCAAAGATTAATTCAAATCTGTTGGTAGGATCCTGCGGTGAAACGAGCTGCCAATGCAGCTCCTGCATCTCGTGGAATTGATGATTACAATCCATTTGCGGATCCAGCAGTCCAAGGAAATGCACCAGTACGAGGAGCATCAAATCCTCCAATATATGGAGGTGTTGGAGCTACACATCAACCGGCTACTTTACAGCCAACAAATCAAGAAGTCCCTCCGCCAAATTATACTCGAACTCCACAACAAACTGTTACACAAACTATTGGGACAACTTTATCACCAAGTGCGGAGGTAATATAATTCGACATTGATTTTTTCGATAAACCAAACAAACGGATGAAAAAATATCTATTATTTCAATTTAGCAAAGAGCTGAAGAAGAGTGGAAAACAAGAAGAGAAGAAGAATTGAGGAATCAAACATTTTATCGTAAGTATAGATGAACATTAAACATTGTAACTAAATAGAATTAAAATATAAAAATTACCTTATTCATTAGGACGCAATAATTGGCCACCATTACCGGAAAAATGTTGTATTCAGCCATGTTTCTATCAAGAGATAGAGGTGGAAATTCAAACAGACTTTCAGAAAGTTGTTAAACAATTATATTACCTCTGGATGTGTGAGTATAATAATTTCAAGACCAGTATTTTCAAAATAATATTTATTTTCCAGTTATTTATTACTTGATGATGGCTGGAACTTTTAATTGATTGGTTTATGGTATTTTATAGTTCATGGACTTGTTTTATTACTTAATGTAATTGGTGGCTTTGCTATCATGCTTCACTATAAAACTTCTGAAACTTTTGGACTGGGTATTCTCTACCTCATTCTCTTCACCCCATTTTCATTTGTCTGCTGGTTTAGACCAGCATACAAAGCGTTCAAGAGTGATAGTTCAATCAACTTCATGGCATTCTTTTTTGTTTTTTTCTTTCAACTTGTTGTTACAAGTATTCAAGCTATTGGAATACCAGGAGCAGGAACTTGGTAAGATAAATTTTATGATCTTTTAACATTAAAGTTTAGTTATATTTTTGAATTTATTATAATCTATAAATAATTATTTTTAGTGGTATATTAACGGCTATAAGTTCGTTTGATGGAACTGGACCAGGTACTTTTGTTGGTATTTTAGTTCTTTTAATTGCTGTTTGTTACGGAATTGCAGTTGCTGGAGATATTTTGTTATTAACTAAGGTAAGATGAATGACGTGAAAATATTTATAGAGTAAGATTTTTGAAATACCTTATATTAAATTCACAAACATTTATATCACTATATTTAGATTCACCGAATCTATCGTACATCAAGTGCAAGTATGTCAAAAGCACAACAAGAATTTGCAACAACATTTTTGAGAAATGAACATGTGCAAAATGCAGCAGGAAATGTAGCAGCGAGTGCAGTTCGTGCACAAATGGCAAATACAGCACAGCCACGTTATTAACAGTAACTATCAAATGTTAATGAAACAAAAAAGTTTTCATTGTTAAAAACTTTTTAATTATCGACAAAAAAAAAATTCAATCAACTTATTGATTCGAGATAAAATTGAAGAAAAAAAGTAATTTGGCAAATGATACATTTTGTCTTTAAAAAGAGTTATTAATAAGTAAGAATGAAGGTATATGAATTTATTAACCATTTTTTGTTGGTAATTTTAATTTATCCTATCAATATTTATTGTAATTTAAATGATTCAAATTAATTATTCAATGATAGGTAACCATCAATAATCCTTTATCAAAATTTTGGAAATATTTTAATCAATTTCAAAATAATCCAGCTAGTAAGCATGGAAGTGCTCCGTTTTTCAAAACTTTTTTTTTAAACGGAATATTTTTATGCATATTGATTGGACTAAATAGACTTATTCACAATAGATTTAAAATATTGTATCAATAATCACGGTTATGTTGTGATAAAAATTTGTGTGAGAAGTGCATAAAAATTTTTTTCTTATCCACGATTTCAGTGATGTATGCTTCTGTGAATTTATTTTTATTATTCAACCTCTTTTTTGTAGTTATTATCAATAGTATCTTTTTATTTTAATCAAATTTGTTTACAAATCAATGTATTGGCATGTCTGAAGAACTGATACATGAATTATTTATGTTATAAATAATTATCTTTGTTAAGAAAGAAAATAAACTATAATACTGAACATATGTTTTCATTAATTTTATATTGTGATTATTATATCAAATTATTTAAGCAACTAGTCCGCTTATATAATAATTTTTTTAACGTAAGAGTGTAATAGAATAATGAAGTAATTGAATGACAGTACATCGATCAAATGAAAATGGTTTAAAATTTATTTTGAAGTTTATGGATACTAATAGGTTGTACCGAAATTTAATATCAGATCAATATTTTTTTTTTGATAAATGAAACTGTTAGCTAAATAATATACTCTTTATCAATTGTATAAGAAATCAAAAGAATATTATATCAAGTTATCTTTAAAACTTTGTAAAAATAAAATAGACAAATCAAGTGGACAAAGCTAACTTTCTATCAATCAAGCTGTAGCAAAAATGTATATTGTAATAATAAATATACAAATTATACTTGTATTAAAAATGATTAATTTTTCACGAGTTAATAAAGAATAATATTTATTTAAACTGAATCAATGATTGTTAATTATTAACTATTGTTAAGAGTTAAGAATAGTAATTGTTAAGAGTCAAGTTTAGTATATAAAATATAAACCTTTTTTATTGATATTTTTTATAAAAATAATTATATAACAATTTTTGAAAAATATTTTTAAGATTCTGATTCCAAATCATCTATTTGTAACTCTTCTAATACTTTCATTTCTGAAATAATTGTTAACGAAATTATTTAAACTATTTTATAATTTAGAATATCTCAATCATTTCACTTACTTTCATGTTCAAATGCAGCAGCGGGATCATCTGGAAAAGGACAACCAATATCTTCAGGCATTGGTACTGTACCTATTAATTGAGCTGCAATAATGGCGTCCATCACATCAACTTGTGTTTTATACATTAATCTAGCATGACCCTCTGCTAACCTGTGATTAATAAAATAAGTTATGATGCATTGATATTTATTTGTAACATTTTTTCAAACCTTATTAGACTATCCAGCAATCTGACAGTAGTTCTTTCTTCTTTTCTGTATGGATTACTTCTGTGATATAAAAATACTGCAGTTAGAATTTTTTCAGCATCTTCAGTTAACTCAGGATTTAATGTATGAATGTGAGAAAAATACTCTCGGAGACTTTCCACATTCCATAAACCTTCTGATTTCAAAATTTCCATTTGTTTCAGGCTTCTGCAAAAGATTTAACAGATATATAAACTATTTGAGACAGTAAAAATAAAAAAAAAGGTAAGAATTTTTTACATTTTATTTTGTTCTTCATCATCTTCGTAAGCAATTCTTAATATATGATCTACAGTCATTTGATCCCAACTGCTATTTTTGTTATCTTTTAGATAAAGAATTAAATCAAATCGTGATAAAAGTGGATTTCCAAGTCGAGTTTTTACTTCTTCTCCTGGAACAATTCGCCCACCAACAGGATTTATAGCTGCTATAACTGAACACCGAGAATTCAGTGTACTAACTAGACCAGCTTTAGCTATAGATATTGTTTGTTGTTCCATTGCTTCATGAAGAGATGCTCGATCGTTTGAACTCATTGTTGTGAATTCATCTACACAACAGACACCACCATCTGCTAAAACCAAAGCTCCTGCCTCTAAATGCCATCCATCAGAATCCTTATCAAATCCGTAACGATGAGTGTTAAACATAAAAACTTTAACATAAATGTAATCAATTATTTTATCATGTACTCACTCTGACTGCTGCAGCGGTTAAACCAGCAGCTGTTGTACCAATTCCAGTCGTTACAACAGCTCTTGATGCCAATTTAGCTACTGTACGAAGTATTTGTGATTTTCCTGTACCAGGATCTCCAATCATTAATAAATGAGGATCACCACGAACTCTTACTCCTACAGGAATTGATTAAACATTATTTGATAGAAAAAATCAATTTTTGAATATTATTATAATTATGTCATATAATTAATATTATATATATATTTACCAGTTTGATTTACTTTTGGTACACCACCAGCTAAAACAATAGCTAGAGCTAATTTTACAGTGTACATCCCAAAGAGCTGTGGACAAATTGAAGCTAATAAATTATTCCTCCCAACTAGAGGATTATCTTGATATTTTTTCCAATAGTTTTCAAAAATTTCCTTTATTTCTTTTTCAGGATAACTTGAATCAAGGACTTTTCTTAAAACTGCTACATTATTAGCAATCATAACTGTAGTTGCATCGGTACGTTGGCTTTCTGTTAATTGTGGATTTCCCCATCTTCGAATTATTACTCCACTAAATAATAACAAATTGTATAGAACATTATCTTGCATAGAATATGTTACACAAATTTCTGTTACCTTATTTGCACATCATCACCTGGCATTATTTTATTTACTAAATCATCAAGTAATATCGCCTGAATGCCAACAGAATAAGAGCTTGAATTTTTAGGCTTTTTTCTTTCCTGTATTTTTACCTCTTGATAATCAGCACAGTCATCTTCTTGGAGACTTGGAATAAGCGTCACACTTTTAGATTCACATGCTCCACATTGTTTGACATCTTCAAATTTTTGTCTTTCCCAATCAAGCTACAATGATGAAACTGTGTAAGGATTTTGAAGAAAATTTGGTATAATTTATCAAAAATTCTAGTTTACTTTAACTTCTGTTATATGATCACATTTTTTACAGGAAAATCGTTTAATTAATTTCATAACAGTTGGTTGTGATATTCTAACAGTGATTCCAGTTCTTGATACCAATGCACCAATCTCTTCATTCTTTATAAACAAAGGAGCACCATCAATTCTAGTATGAACTTTTTTCTTGACAGTTTGTTTATCATTGTTTATTAATTCTTCTTGAGCTTTAACAGCTGACTTATCACATTGATGTAAATAATAACGTGGCCTATGTAAAATTTTATCACATGTTTCTGGATCTTCTACACTCAGAGTAAAACAACTGAAAAGGGTAAGAATAAACATCTGAATAATATAAGAAGATAACAATAGATTTACATACTCAACAATAATAGAATAATGTAGAAATTCATCAGGAGCATCAAGTATTTGTTGTAAATCTTCCGCATGATGTTTTATAAAATAATCTTTCAACATGTTTATTCTTGATGTTAACCTGCATTATAAACAAAACTCACGTGGTTATGTTTTGGGTTTTTACTCTCAGAGACATCTATATTACGTCATATTTAAACTACATTTTTACACACACACACACATGCAAATATTTATGAGATTTAAATACAACAAAGGGTAATCAATTAAATGTAAACAATCACTTTAATTATTAAGAATTTACATAATTATTTTATTTACATCAAAGATTACAGCGAATTGTTAAAAAATTATTTCATTCAATCATTACTTTTATCTTGAGTGTCGTACAATTGTTTATTATTTATTGACCATTTGGATAATGAAAACCATGAACCGTGACCTAATTCCTGAGTGTTTATTTCTTCAATAAAATTTAAGAAGCGTATAAAAAAATCAATAAGCTTTGTAGCTGTTCCATTTCTCAACTTTTGAAAATTTTTATCTAAAAATAATAATTAATTAAAAGAGTCTTAATTTTTAGATTTAGGTAACAATAAAATAAAATAACAATTGCTATCATCATACCGGAAGGCATTAGCATTTTTTTAATCCAAACAGATTGATGAGTTAGTGATGCGATAAACCGCTTTATTATTAGACTTTGCATGTCCATGGACATGGGTCGGAGACGTGATACGAAGCGCAGAAAATATTCTAGAACGTATCGATTGTATGTTTGGAGCTTTTGTAAGCAATGTTTTAACCTTGAACCTCGGATAACTATTTGGCTTAAAGAATCTATATCTAAAATGGGCTCCTTGAGAGTTTCTAACCATTCGTATAATAAACCAGATAAAATTCGAACGTTTGTTTCCAGTTCTAGCCATTGCCAGGTTGAATTTTTGTTATTTAAATTTATCTGAAATTAATTAATATATCATTAATAAACAATAATAAAATAAAAAATGTCAAGTATCATTAATTATATTACTTGATATTGTAGGAGAATTTTTCTTTCATCCTCTGGAAGTGTAGAATAATCAAAGAGCAAAGCTTTCAGAACTTGATCAATAGCCATCAAGTTGTAGTGTTCTTTTTGAATGGATGTTTTGAAAAATAATTGAGATTGAAGCTCTTTGTAACAGTTATTATCCTGCAGTTCTTGATTGTATATTCCATCAGCTAAAACATCATCTACAAGGTGATCATCCAATGCTATAAGTAGACAATGTTTGTTATTTTTTCATTCGAAAGTTGTTCATTGAATCAACTTGGATAACCAACTCACTTAGACAATTAGTGGAATAATAAGAAGGCGATTCAGGAGATGTACAGAGGATATCATCCATTTTTTTAATATCTTCACAGGTATCTTTGGAAGAAATACTACTGGTTTTTACTTTTGTGGTATCTAAATCTAAAAGCAAATTATTATTATATTTCAGGTATTGTTAAAAATAGAGATTGATGATTAAAGATGGCTTACTTTTGTCAGTAATTGGCTTATTGGAGCAATCAAATGAAGTTTGGGAAAGATAATCAGTCCATGAAAATGAATGTCTCATACTATCATTATCTTCAGGTAATTTTTCTAAATTATATGAGATAAATTTATTAACAAAAGGAGTATCATTGATAGAAAAATCAATCTGAGCTGGAGAATTATCTTCTTGACAATCACAGAGCTGCAAAATTCGTTCACATAAAACGAAAACAATTTTGGGAATAAATTTGAACGTACGTTGTTCATAGCCATGAAGTACATTCCATTGTTTTTTCAGATAAGATTGAAGACTGTGTGACTTAATAGTAGTACTTGATCCACGTGAACATTTTGATGGGAATACAATCATTTGTGGAAGAATATAAAATTCAAAATCTTGAATACATTTTATTTGTCCACGAGTTTGAATGGCACCAGGTCGTTTTTTTCGTACAAAACGAATAGCATCATTTGCACGTACTCGTAAACGATATATGAGGTAACATGCAATGAGAACACCAGTCCTCCCAAGTCCTGTAAAAAGATGTTAAATATTCATTAATTTCGTTTGACCAGCTATTGTTCTACATTTGCTTTAGAATTATACATTTTTTATTCATGTTAAAAATTCATATTGATTTTAGAATTCATGTTAATATAGAAAAATCCATTTAAACATCAATATGTAACATGAAAATATTCAACAACTATGCAATTATCAAGAGAAACTACTATTAAATGTCAATCTATTTTTAATTTTTAATCAAGTTGAATGATAAATGGAATTTCTCTGTTATATGATACACAAGTTTGATAACGATATTTATATATAAATATTTTACATGGTTATTTAATGGTAAAAATATAATTTATTCGAATACTCAATTATCAAATATTATCCTTTCATTCAAATCATTTTGATAAAAGAATTTTTTTATTTTTTTTATGAATAATTCATTTTTTTCGAGAGAGAGAATCAATTTTTATCTTTAAAATAATTTATTTACAAAATTCAATGTGCAAACATTATGTGCGAAAAAAATTAATTGTCGTAGATTTTTTGTTCTGATCGTGTTGAAATATAATAAAAGAAGGTATACAAGTGATCTATTACAGCTGATAAGAACTTTGCATGATCACTCATCAAAGTTTTATTCTACTCAGTTTTATCGATAGAACAAAATGAATTATCATTCTTTTATCTATTCATTTTACTAGATCCTTGAACAATTGTTAATGCAATTTAAAAAAAGAATATATCACAAGTACAATCGTATTTTAATAAATTTTCAAACTTATAATAATGTAGATTTAAAAAAAAAAAAATACTCTACCAGCATGACAGTGAATAGCAACTCGTCCTTCTTGGACTGCGAAAGCTACAACTTTTACCATGTCTAGAAGTTTTTCAATCGTTGCCTTATCATAATCTTTTAATGCAAAATTATAATAATAAACTGCAAAGAAAATAAAATACTTTGTTAACATGAAATTAAATGAGAAGAGATAATTTAAATAATAAACTTACTTCCATTTTTCATAAACTCATCAGGATCATATGTGAATCCACTCTTTTCTAAAGGTACACCACAGCTTCCGTGTTCTCCTGGAGTTTGTAAATTAATTATTGTCTTAATACTCCATCTCTGGAATTGTGTAATTAAATTATTTTTCAATAATTGAGTTGTATGAGGACGTGCCATTGCTAGAATGTCATCTGTTACCCTGTGACAGTTTTGATAATACATGAGTTGCATTAATGAAACTAAACAGAGTGAATATTTTTAATGAAATTGTATTAATAATTATTTCTAATTTGTTTACCAATGAGAGTAAATATCCTGAATTGCCATATGAACAGGTGGCCAAGCTTTCGAATTTTCGTATTTGCATTTTGCACCACCACAAAAAAAAGCACACTGTACTGAAATAGGTGTTAGTTTACGTAAATTTTCGGATAATTTATTGTAATTAGCTGAAATTTTGGTAAAATCTAAACTCTGTTGGTCATCAGCTGGTGCCAATGAACTTACATCCATCTTTTACTCTTCAGAAACTTAAATAATTATTTCAAAATTCTTATTGAACATTTACCAGAAGATCATTATTGTTCAAATAATAACAATTAATCATAATTATAAAATTTTTTACATATTAAATTATTCATTGTTAAATGGTAAATGTATTTTTTTTTTAATTTAATTGTGTATTACACTTTATTGTTGAAATTTAAACTACATTTATTTGTCAGTAATCTTAACGTTTCCAGTAACACAAAATTCATGTGCTCGCCTCAAAGGGTTGCGACGGAATGGAATGATCGATGCTAAAGAAAAAACTGTTTTATATCTATATATACAAGTTTTAGTATTGTAGTTAAATCGACCTATTTTATATGTCATTGACTAAATACAATCTTACTTGTATTAAATATGTGCTCTAAATAAAATTGTTTTGGTCGTAAACTGCAAAATCTCACATTTGCATAAAGGATATTTAACTTCTATAAATTACAAGTAGCGATAAATCATTTATATAATTTTAGATCAATTATCATTTTACTCAATATAATCAGTTTGAATATAAAGTAGCGAATATAATTAAATTATTTCTAGAGATAAAATTGAAGTAAATGAATTCGTTTAATTTATAAATGTAGTTGATAAACTTTACAAAGTAACTGATAAAATCGTTTTAAAATAATTCAATAGGTGATTTAAAATTTAATATGTATTTCATTTATTAACTTTATATTGTTAAAGAAATAAAATTTAAATAAAATTAAAAAAATGATTTATATAATGATTATTTTTCATTCTATTTGTATTTTTATTTATTTTCACATTTCAGATGTTATGATGAATTTGTTTTTATAATTTTTACATTTAATCTATGAGGCTAAAATATAATACTGGTATAATATACAATAAGGGGTCCAAGTGATAGTGGCCCTTCGATTACTGCACATTTGTTTTAATTTATTCATTTATTTATTTAGTAAGTTTTGTTTTTATTTTTTGTATCGATTAAAAAAAAAAAAAACTAAATTATATTCACACAATTCTCAAAGCAAAACAATTATTCTTATGATTTATGTTGATGTTACTGTTTATCTCTGTACCAGAATTAATATTGTAAAATAAAATATATAAATAATGCTATTGATCAATCATTTTTTTTTTTTTTTAATTTAATCATTAATTTATTATTTCTATTTATTATTATCATCATTACCATTATTATCCATGTAGTAATTGATATAAATATAGCAGCCGTGTTTCGCTGTGTATTCTTACTATTTTTTTTGTTTTATAAAACCACGTTTAATCGATAAAAAGTGAATAATAATGAGAATTATACCGTGGCTCCGCTTGGAATCAGTCATGCCCTATGGCGGGATCGCGAAATAATATTACACGATTTAAAAGTTATTTAGATAATTATTTAAAATTCAACTGATAAATGTTTATTCTTTAAATATTATCATTTTGAATGATTTAATCAGGCAGAAAGATAAGTGCATAATGTCATCTACATATGAAAATAATAAAATAATCACTTTGTTTATAAACTAATATAAATGATTAAAAGATTTTGGAGCATCAATTTGGCACTATTTTTTCTCAAAATAATACCCGTTTTATTAATTTTCAATTATTTTTATTGCTGATATGGTTGTTAAATTTATTCCATTTACTGTTTATTTCCATTCATATAAAAAACAAAATTTTGTTATTATCATCAATCAATTCATTTGTTTTTATTATTTAATGTAATTAATTAGGATTTATTCAATTTTGAAAAATTCACGAGCCAATCATTTACAGTTGAACGCTCCACGCGAACGATCACAGTCAAAAATTAAAATATATTTTTCTTAATGATCACAAGTAATTATTATAATTATTATCATTATTATTATTAATATTAATATTATTAATGTCACATTAGAAATAGTTTTATTTTGTTCATGAAAACTAAATGCAAAATATATTGACACGAGCAACATATTATAATGAAATATTAACAAATAGTGTAATTTATTTGAAAATTCTCGTAATTGTATTAGTTATAATTCTTATATTTTAATGTTTATTATTCTAATAGATAATTTTTTGTTTTATTTGCAGTGTGACTATATACAAGAGAGTCTTTTCTCTATTATATTATGTTTTAATAATTTTACTCACAATATAATAGATTCATGTTATTATCATTAATACAACATATAAAAACAGTGAAATTTAAACTGGCACTGAATTATAGATTATTTAATAACCGTTTTTCCCACTAATTATTCAGTTATGATATAAATTATTGTTTAAATGATTCAACAAATGATGATTATTGTAATTTTATGAGAAATTCCATTACAAGAGTTTCATATACAAACAATACAAATAATATTTTTTAACGTACTGAATATTTACATTGAAAAAATTTTAGGTATGAAAATATATTTCATTTTTACTTTAAAGAATATTTTAAAGACATTCTAATTGTAAAAAAGAATGAATAACTTATGATTCCATATTTAAGCTTCCAATCTTTCAATTATCACTCATATTCTTCATTATGCTATGAAATTATCATTTTTATATATTACTTTGTTTATCGTGAAATTTATACGAAGTTTTTTTTTATATTTTTATTTTAATTTTATTTTTCTGTAACAAATACAAATATAAACATTTCTTTGTTATTTTATTGAGACTCATGTCCATACAAAACTAACAAATAATTTATTATTTTATGTTTCTGTTAACTATTTTCTTTATTGATCTATTTTTCGTTATAGTTTCTTGTTTCATTCAGAAATATATGGCATTAAATTATGAAATGCTCAAAAAGTGGGATTTCAGTACCAGAAGTTTAATCACGTTTTTTTTTTTCATCCTATCGTAAAAAGAAATTAAGTCACGCCATGATTTGTGTTTATTATACATATTATTCATTATTTTTTGTTTTTGAAAAAATTCCATTTTATAATTTTGTTGTATTTAGAGAAAGGTTAATAGGAAAAATGATCACTCGATTAGTTCATGATAGTTTGATGAATTTTTATTATTCTACGAGTGTTTAGTAACCCTTAAAGACAACGAAGTTATGATTTATCATCATTATTATTCAAAAATTGTTTGCATTGTGAACTACGATTCAATCATCAATCAAGCTAATCAACTGTGAATAAAAAATTATATATGTATTATTATAAAGTTTTGTACAGAATTATTGATTGTTTGTAAATTCAGCAAAGTTTGATCCATCACTTCGTTATCTTTATTAATAGTTAGTCTTCTTGATATTAGAATTGATTTGTGTAGATTTTGTAAGCTTTTTCGATAAAATTAAAAGAGAATCGATGACATTAAATTTCATTCTGATATACGTATACATTCAATATGTATAACTTTAAGTATTATTTCTTTTAAATGTTTTTAGTTTTTTAAATTCAAATAAATATAATGAAATTCATTATAGTGTTTCAACACACATGTTTTGGAATTTAATATGTTACATTCATTCGTTAAGCTTATTATTTTTGAAATTATATCATTGTTGTTAAGCAAAGTTTAATAATTTATTATCAATTGATAGATGTTTTATTTATTTTAGATTATTATTTCTATTATTATTAATTTTTTAATTATTCATTACTTCTAAAAATTCATCAACCGTTCGCACATTTATTCTGTTATTTTCACTATTTTTTCATACCATTATTATATTTCATCAGTGTGAGATGATTTACATATGTCTATGTGAATTACACTTGTATGAATGATCAATATCAAACTACTTATGTATTAATCAATTAATTCATTTATAATAAATGTTGTTATTAATCATTTATTTTATTATTAAGACAAGTGCTAGGCTATACACAGGCTACCAAATTAGGTGAGCTTTGATTGGGTACGTCAGGCCTCTGTTGTTCATTCTCTTTATGTTTAACGATATTTTCTTATACAGAGTTTAAACATAAAAGCAATAAATTGATCACAAAACATTTGAGAATTATTTTTTTTATTTATTAATTTAAAAAATTCATTGTTGACTGTAAATTGTATGTGTCTTTGGATAAGCATGACGTACTATAATCTCAAAATAAATTTAACATGACATTAATCACATGAAAAAAAAATGATTGGTTTTTATTTTTAAAGTTGATTCTTTAATCAAGTAATTTAATTGATAATGTAATTATAACTTTATCAAATAAAGTAGTATTTAATGTTTTGTTAAAATTTACTCTAATACAAATCATATGTTTTTTAAAAACAAATTAAAATTTAAATATTATAGAAATAACATATTTTATAATTTCATGATTAAAAAAAATTTAAGTAAATAATATACTATAAAAATATTCTATTATTTGATACTACAAATTGGAATAATCACGATGATTCAGTCGATATTAAACTGACTCAAGTTCTTTTTCGAATTAAATTCAATTATAATAAACGTAACAAGATTAATAAAATCCAAAATAAAAATAAATTTAATTGTCAATGTTTATTGGCCTACGTGCCCTTTTAACAGCCATCCTTTATTTATTAATAACGCTAGAACTGGAATCAACTGATTTTTGTTAATCTTTCCTACCTTCTACAATCTTATAGAATAATTTTATCTACAAACGTGTATTATATCTACACGTATATCAAAAAAATTCTTCTATTGATTCTCTTTACGCAATTAACAAAAACTTATTTTTCATTATACACTAATATAAATTGGCATTTAGAAGAGCCACTTCCACATACTCATTGTTTTTTTAATTGTTAATACACTAAGCCGTCCGTTGTGTATATGTATGTTTAAAGAAAAAGAAGTCCTGAGTTAAAAAATTTGTAATTTTACTGACTTGTAACGGTCTTTCAGAATAATCCTACTTCTACTTTATTATTTTATAATAATATTTATATATCATTTCTTCATGATACTTTCGTATCGTTTTATTTATCTCATTATGTAATAATATATCAATTATAATACAGATAAATAAGAAATTTACATTTCAAAAGAAAAAAAGTAACATAATAACAAAGTAATACAAATCGTTGTCGTTTATCTATTTAAGATATGGATCACTTCGATTGACATTTTATTTCAATGATAATTTTTCTTTCTCCTATTAAAGAAAAATTACTTTCTAGCCAATCTTATTGTATATAATCTTCTTGCTTTGATATTTATTATTTTCAACTCCCTGTTCTTTTTAATTATCTTCTGATTCTTAAATCTCCCTCCTCATTGTTTAGTCTTAGAAAATTTGCCTCTTACAATTTAGATATGATTAGTGACTTGTTTCTAAGAAGATACAATAGTTGTCTAATTTATTGTCCTTGACAATAAATAACAAAAAAAAGTTGCAGGACGATGTTGAAGATTCAGGTAATTGATACTATGAAACAATGTATTAATTTATCAATTTATCTAATGCTTAGTATGGTACTACGCCTCGATTTGATCATCTGACGTCATGATATCGGGAGCCATTGAAAGATCTTCTGCTATATCTTCATCTTGTCCTGAATCTTGTCCATGACTTTCGGGATAATCTCTTTCATCTACTGTATCATCTTCTACCTCGTGCTCTGTAGGTCCTTCCAACAATTCACGTTTTATTAATCTCGATAATTTTCCACCTTCAGGACTTGGTCCTTCTTGTTTTATATGGAGTGTTGGTTCGTCTAACGATGACCTGAATAATTTGATGAGTTATTTAATAATTCATGATCAAATGACAATTGATTACTTTAAAATATTCAATGATAAATGTTATTATTAAACTTTTCACTACATCTAGAAAATTCATTGAATCAATAATATATTAATATTCATTAATGTATTGATTATTTGAAGATTAATATAAATATGTTAATTTTCTTTTCCTTACATTAAATCATTGTGGGGCATTACGTGTTCCTTGTCTGGACTAGTTGCTGTTGATGTGCACATTGAATTATTCAAGAATCCCATGTTCGATTCACCTAGCGCCGCCTGGAAATACTCAATTTGTATTAGATAATTAGTTATTATTAGTATTCATATTTTTTTGCCTACATAGAAATTCAATTTGTTTCATTATATTTTACATAAATGATTATAAGTAATGGGAAACATTTTTGTATTAAAAATAGAATTATTTTTCTGAATCAGGTCAAATAATGATCATTCAATAATGACATTTTTCTGTATTTTTTTTTTTTTTAATGAGGAAATAAAAATACAATGACTTTTAGTTATAAAATTATATTTATTTATTTACCTGGAGATTGGCATTGAGAGCATCACCATACATGGTTGGACTATGCGTTAGTGTAGGGCTTTTAGAAGGTACTCCTCTAATTATGACAGAAAATATTTTTGTTGTTAATACAAATAATATTGTAAGTAAAAATAATAAATATATAGATGTATAAAATATTGTATAATAAAGAATAAAAACATGTAACAATTATTTATAAATATTTGTGTAAAGAGAAATACAATATTAATAGATAAAAGGTTGAAAGATAAAATTGAATAATGACGTGTATTATATAAATAGCAATTAATTAAGTACAATTATTATTAATATATATAAATTCAAATACATATATATATATAATATAAAATTGAAGCAGTAGAATAAAAAAAGTGAAGAAAATAAGCGTGAGAGAAAAAGTTAAAGAGGAATAAGAGAAATAGAGATTAAAAATTTTCAAAAACTACAAATATACAAATCTATATTTTAAAAAATTATGGTAAAAAGTAGGAAATAACACTGAAATATTTCTTAAAATCTTACCAAAAAGCGTACCATTACGTTCCATCATTTATCAATCAATTTTTTCCAGGTTTAAGAGATTAAAAGTTTTAGCAAAAAAGAGCACTAGATGAAAAGAAAAAAACGCTTTCCACTAATTTTTAATTCATCAATAATCTTTTCAATGAATTAATTATTTTTATCAATATCTTTAATTATAAGCTTTTAAGTTTTAATGATCAGTCTTGAATTGATTTTATACTCACTTCAATTTGTTACTGTTCCTTCGTTTTAATATTTTAATTGACTTTTTTTTTTATCAGAAATTTATGTACGTGTGATGATGATGATGATGATGATGATAATGATTAAATAATGAACATGACAATAAAATTCATGCAAAAAATATTTAATGACTGATCATTAATTAATATTTAATAGCGTTTTTTTAATTTCATTGATACTAATTGAAGCATGTAAAGAATATTTAAAAAGACAATTAGATATATAAAAAGAGATAATATAAAATTACGTAAATATATAAAATTTGAACTATTCAAGAAATATTATAAAAATAGTATAAAGAGATAAAAAGATAAAATATTGAAAAAGACGATAAAAATGTAAGAAAATTTGAAAAATTAGTTGATAGTTAATTTGATACCTGAACATTATTTGATGATATTTGTTGTCGAAACTTTTCAAGTGAGACTTGAGAATTTCCCATTATCGTGATACCAATAAACACACACACACACACACACATTACAAATATTTGTCTTATTTACTCATGCGCTAGTGACCTCGATCCGTAACCCATTTACTCTTTTAACTCATTTATTCATATTTTCAATTGGAGGGTGATTAGATTAATAATCATGTTACTTCGCAAGGTTGATTTTAGGAAATATTAGATAATCATTCACTCAACTACATCAATCAGCTTGATCGAGAAAGCATAATAAGCAGAGTATAGCAAAAAAATGAAATTAATGAAAAGAAGCATGCAATTTTTTTTTATAAAGATTTTGGTTTAATCGAGAAATTATTTATTGTGAAACATCATGAGACACTTTGATTCCATAGAAAAAATATTTCTAATAAAGTTATTAGAAAAAAAATAAAAATAAATATCATGCATAGAAAATTATCTTTTCCATGGAATAGTGATAACAAAGTTTTGTAAAATATTGTGACCGTTTTAAATTCAAATTGAAAATAAAATAGAAAAAGTTTTACAGCGGTTTTTGAAAAAAGAATATTTATCAAAGTCTAACCAATGAATAAATATAAAAGCTATAAATGAATTTGGCCAACTAAAAAGCCCTTGTCGGTATAAATTTTTGCGCGGCGTCGATGCAAGCAGGATAATAAAATATTATTTGATAACATCGCCATACTTTCTACAAATATTGCAACACAAAAATTCATTAAAATATTTATTTTATTTAAATTACCAGTTATTTCATTTTAATAATTATTATTATTTCTCATTAATAATCAAAGGTAGGGAGAATCTACGAGGCAATCAGGCATGATGCGTGAATCTATTTCATTTTTCTAACCCATTTGTTGTTGTTGTTTTTTTTTCATTAAAAAAATTTAACTCTTAAGAGGGTGCGATATGCGATAAACTGCTGTCTATTATCATCATAGCAAAAATAAATCTCTATAATATTTTTCAATAATTTTTTTTATAAAAAATACTTCTGATAATTTAATTGCAAATATCGATGCATTTTTTTCCGTACAATTTAATTAGACATCTGTAAGAGTATTTAATATAAAAATGAAATGATTAACAGACAGCAATTGTGACGCAAATCCTTGTGAAATAGGTAGAGACAACGACCAAGCGATTCGTACTGCTGATAATAATGATGATAATAAAAATATCAGTGACAAGTTAATTGTCAAGTAATTTGATTATCATAATTTTGCAGAACGTGTCGCATTAGCCAGCCAGCAGAATTCTAAAAAGTGGTAGTGCTTACTGTGCGGAGAGGTGGGGTGGAGTGGGTGATGGGGTTGGGTCATATTTCCTGGGGCGGCCGCGGGACAGATGCCGCCGCTTTACGAACTCGGCGTCGTCCACCATCCAGAATGACCCAAAGTCGTCCTCATAGCGCACAAAACACTTGTGCAATGATAGATTGGTGCGGATGGCGTTCTGTATACACAGACAAGACCACCAAGAAATAGAGAAAAAGAGAATAAAAAAGAGAATAAGATTTTTCAATCTAAAAGATCCTCTCGATGCATTCCATTTCATATTTATTAATCTTCTTTTCTTATTTATCTTATATATTTGACGTTTTCTTTTTTCATTCTGAAAATATTACTACATCAATTCTTTCAAACTTTTCTCAATACCTTTGGTTATTTTATTATTTTTACTTTTTTGTGTTTTTGTCTTAATCAATTATAGTATTATAATTATTATTATTAATTCATTCTAATTTAATTGGTTCGTTTAGAAGTTTGTTTTCTTTTTTTTTTTTTTTAAATTAAACAAATTTTCTTATGAAGAGAAAAAACAAGTTTAGTCGATTTTCACTCCATTTCTTTTTTTATTGTTCATAAATTTTTGCACTTTGTCTTCTCGCAGCTGCCTCTCCCACGGTGATTTTTTTTTTTCTGTAGACACATGGGCATACGAGAGAAACAGAGAAAGAAAAAAAGAAAAAAAAGAGAGAAAGTGTATGTGAGAGATAGATAGAGAAAGAGAGAGTGGGAGAGAGAAATAAATATAGAATACAAGGAAACAAGATTGATAGACAAAGAATAAATAAAAATAAAAACAAATCTATTTGAAATAGTAACAAATACTTTTTCTTTTTTTTTTTTTGTTCATTTAAAAGGAGCTTGTTTGTGAGTGGATAATAATTATGAATTTGTTTCTCTTTATTCTACAGATATTTTGTAACGTGCAATACATATATTTATTGTAATTAATCATAACGTAGAAATGAATAGTAGTAAAAATAATGGTAAAAAGGTTCATAATATAAAGACGATTATAAGAAATGATTAAGTGTGATTAGTGATCCGTTTCGAAAAGCAAATTTTTCGCAAACCCACGCTCGACTTTTGCACTTCCTACATACGTATATCGTATCTCTTTCCGGGATATATCGTCGCTGCAAAGCTTATCATATTCATGCTTGTTAATTAAGCTACACTTTTGAATATTATTTTATTCTACTGTTCTACATTTGATTCATCCATTTTTTATTTTTATCAACTTATCAATTATTTTATTTACTCATTCATTCTAGGAGTCATCTATATAATTATTTGTATAATTTAATTAACCAGATTTTTATTCAGTATTATGCAATTTTAATTAAAAAAAAAAATATTCCAATGCTTTTTTTCTTTCCTTTGTTCTAATAAATAAACTACTTTTGATGATGGTATTTTTTATTTTTACATAATACTGAATAATATGAATATTGAATAGTCATGGAATAAGCTACAAAAAACTAGCTATGTAAGTTAGAAAATAAAAGAACTGATAAAAATAATTGAAAAAAAAGTATTCTATTTAATAAAATTCATGATTGATGATACACAATGTTTCAATAAATAGAAGTATATAAAGATAGAAAAAGTGAGTAGACAAACAGCTTAAATGCAGTTCAAAAAAAAGGAAATAAAATTTTAAAAATGCCACATTCGCAGTGTGTAAATAGTAAACTGAATTTTAAAAGTGAAATAAAATTCTAGTGAATGAAAATTGTATGAATAATAAAAAAGCCAAAGCATTTGAGAAAAATACAACAATTAAGAATGCAATATAAATACATTTTCAATAGTAAAAATGAGAATATTTAACTGAAATAAAATAAAAATTGATAAGCAAACATGCATATCTTGATGATGTTATGTAAATAGATAATTGAGCAAGGATTAAAAAGCTTTAAAATATTCTAAAAATGGATAAAAATGTAAAACATTGAGTTAAAAGTATAAAAATCTATGGAATACATAAATACTATTTAAAAGAGTAAAAGTATGATGTAAAAGTAGTAATATTAAAAGATACATAGATATATTAAAAATAGATAAAAAATTTTTTAAAAGTACTAGCAAAGTTTTAGCTTATAAAAATGTATAATAAAAAGATAAGCAAGACAATTTTAAAAATTTGTCTACAAAAATAGCGAAAATGGTAAAATGATGCTGATTGTAGATTAATTGAATTCTTTCAAAGAGAGATAATATTTAAAAAGTAAATATTGAGATGTAGAAATATATATGAATATGTAGTATATAAGAGATAATAAACATTGATAAGAATATTGATATATAAAAAGGTAAATTTAAATATAAATATATATATAAAAAAGTGAAAAAGAGAAAAATTCGCGCGTGACAGGGGGTAACGTACCCAGTCGTGCTGCAAGCGCGTTGAGGACGTCTCTTGTAAAACTCCACTTCGTCCACAGTCCATACGGCCCCTTTCACGTTTTCGACTCGCATGAAACATTTGTGGAGAGACAGGTTGTGTCGCACTGCATTCTATACAAAATAATACACAGACTAAATAAGCAACGCAAAAAACGAACCAAGCCAACTCAATCACGAACTTGATGACTGTTAAAGTGATGGTGATGCCGGTGATTGAAGATCAAGATGACTGTAAGACCAGTTTGGGTCATGTCATTCCGTTACGGATTTTTCTTTTTTCTTTTACTTTTTTTTTTTTTATTTTTATTTAATTCAACATTTGTATTAATAATTTAAAATAAACTCTCAAGCATTAAATAATCATTAATAAGTAATAACAAAAATAATCTCTTTTTAAAGTTATTTACTTTTTGATTAATTCAACGATCATTGTTGCGTAAAAATTATAACAATGCGAATAGCAATGAATATCTAATTATTTTCTAGGTAACTATTTTAAATAAATTATCAACTAAACAAAATAAAACAGATTATATAGCATATTCAAGCCACGTAATTGATTATTTATTTCATGGAAAAAATAATAGATATCGATAGAAAATAACTTTGTTTACGTTATATTATTTCTAGGAATTCATTAAATTATTTTTATTATTTTTTCCATAAAATAAAGCTTGATACTATTGTTTCAAGAAAAGAACAAAAATGGGTCATTGTTAAATAAAATGAGAAAATTGAAAATAAATAAACAAATAAAATAAATCATGATATTAATAAGATATATGTTTTTTTTTTGCATTCCGATTTGAGTTAAATGCAGAGCTAGGTATCTAAAACTCTATAGGAAAACGACAACAATTATTCATGCCGCAGGGCTTTAACAAGTCAGGGTCGATGAATAAACTTGATGACAGTCTCTTTAATTCTCCATCCCATTGGCTCCAAATATTCCATTAGTAGCTTGTAATACCTGTAGATTTCTTTATAATATTCATATTCGAGTTATGAATGTTTTTTATGTTTTTTTTCCCCTTTCTTTTTCATTTATGTTTCATTATTTTTTCCGTTAATTTTTTTTTTCTTTGTAAACATAGAGAATCATGCGAGGCGAAGCTTTATATGGCAAACGTCGATTACTCACACTCACTTATTACCATCACAAATCATTCATTCAAACGTATTTTACTACCTACTTATATTGGTGATAGTAATCATTATTATTATCCCTCTATTATTCGTAATTGTATCAAAAAATTACAGTTTTCTGCACTGATCGGTAATCTGTTATCCTAATATAGGACCATCCTGTTATTATAAAGTGCAAATATGTTATAAATATTTATACCACTATTGGCATTTGTTATTTCCCTCGTAGATTAGAATTTTTTTCTATGATACTACATCTGCATTAGTTTTATATCACTTGTAACAACAATGTTGACTATCATTGTTTATCTTTCATCGTCACGCAATTTTTTTTCCAAATAAACTATCTTGATTAATATCATGTAACATGAACGAACAATTTAATTTTCTTGATGCGTTATTGAAAGTCGTATTAATATTGATTTTTTTTAACTATTTACCGAACTGTTTATTTTTACATCATAAGTAATTATGAGTTTCCTTAACATTTCAGTAGTTTTTAATATTTATTTGAATGTTGAAAAAAAAAAAATTTCTCTTCTTTGAAACAAAAGTTTAAATGTAATAATTTTTAATACTCAATTTGAGTAATTTTTTATTGAAAAATTATTTGAAAATATACCTTCCACGTTGCGGCATTCCGCCGGAAGTAACAGAATGTGTTTTGGAACCAGTTGTAGATTTCATTGAGTGTCAATTGTTTTTCTGGTGACTCAATTATTGACTGTAATAACAAATTTAAAATTAAAAAACAAAAAAAAAAAGTTTAAAGAAAAAAAAATTATTAATTAATTTTAGTGATTAATATTACCAATGTTTTTGAACAAAAGCAATAAAATTTTTTAAAATAAAATAACCGACCTGTCGTATTAAAGAAGCATAGGTAAAAGGTGGCCTCACATCAGCATTTTTGTAAAATTCTCGATTCCGTTGAATTTCTAAAAAAAAATACAATTATGTTTTGAATAATAAATTCATGATAGAAAAGAAAAAAAAATAGATACAAAAATTTCGAAAATTATATTGAAAAATTCGATTAAAGTCAAAATAATTAATTAATATAGTTAGAGAAGATAAGCCAAAGGGTACATGGATAGTAGGTTAAAACAGTACCTTGTTGGACGTCAAGGCCAGCCCGCTCCAGCATGTAGGGCAACCCTACAAATTATGGAGGGTTGGTGCAGCACAGGTAACGCAGAAAACAAGTAGTTTGATAAAAGAAAACAAAGCAGAGAGGAAGACAAGATAATTATTCATATTCTCAATTCATTATTTAGATATGTTTTTCATTATTACAAACTTAAATATTTTTAAAACAAAGATTACTGCTTTATTTTTTCAATATTCAATATTTTCTTTTAGTAATTTTAACTTTTTTATTTGAGTAATGTTACATTAAATATTAAGTTAGTAATATGAATAAATTATAAGTGACAGTTATCTTACCTCCAGCTAATGAAAGAGCTGACTTGTCACTAATTCTTCTTCGGATTGGTCCAGCCATGCTAGGCATTCCTCCAGGAATAGTTGGCATACTTCCAGGCATATTAGGCATTGGTATTCCTGCTATACTGGACATGTTAGGAATAGGTGGCATTGGAGTACCACCAGCGGTTGGTGGAAGTTGTCCTCCTGCTGGTGACCTCACTGCTGATACTAGAGCTGACATTGAAACTGGTGACACTTGAGATACTCCAAAATTTGGTGGTGGTTGACTCATTAAATTGGAAGATAAACTTAGCTTAGGGAGATTGGAACCTGTCTATAAAAATATCAAAAATAAAATCAACCATTATTCAACTTACTGATAAAAATTGGAAACAAGTTATCATACAATCATTAATCATCATCACTGACATCAAATTAATATTAAAAAAAATATTTTCTAGACATTCTTTAAGCACAGACTGCTTTGATGAATTTTTTTTCTCCACGGAAAAAACAATTTATAAAGTTAGCAATCAGTATGTTCGACATTTAGATTTCAGTAATTATTCCAAGACGACTGTAGGAAACGAAAGCTAATGCGATATTGGTATTCTCCGACAGCGTAACTTGTTAGGGGTTTTAATTAAGGCGATATAAATCGCTTTGGGTAGAAGAAGAACGTGCTGCTCCCTTGGACGATGAATTATTAATTACAATTTCGTGTATAAATTAACGCCTTAAAGTTACCAAGGCGTTAAATCTGAAACTAGCATTTATTTGCGTCATTCTTTAAGTATATGTATATATAGATGCATGTATATAGTTTTTGTTAGTCATTCTCTGCCATCATTTCTTCCATTTCTTACATCGTAGTTAAACTTACCGATGATTCAGACGACTTTGGTGGTTCTGGAGATGCCATTTGTTTTGCTACATGAAGATGATGCATCATAGCACCTAAGATATCACGTTCTTTTTGTAATTGTATCTCTAATTGAGACACAACTTGCATTTGTACTCGTGCTTGAGCTGTTGATCTATCATCTAATGTATGTTCCGTGTTCATGTGTCTAAAAAATTCAATAAATATTTTATTATCATTAATTCTTCTATCGTATTTAAATATAGATAATGAAGTAAAATAATGAAATATTCATTATAATTTAAGAAACTTTTTGAAAAAGGTAATAGTACTGTTGAAGAAAATGAGAAATAGAATTAGACATGCTAGATTCCTTTGATGTTGATTCTTTTACTGTGAGAGACTCCTATCACGGTTAGTGGTAACGACGAAAGAGGGTTGAAGAAACTGGCAGGAGTTTGTTAAGGCGCGAGAAGCCCTGGCGGCTGTTGGGATTAGACAGAGAAACGCATAACGATGCGGTCGAATGTCGTGAATATTAATGAGACAAAGGTAATTAGCGTTCTTTATTTTTTTTTTTTCCCAACGACTTGTTTGGGGACTTTACTTTAGCTTGCCGTGATTACTAAGGGGACTGTTGGACAAAGAATTTAAAAAATCGAAGAAGAACAGAATAATAAAAAATGCTGTGTTAGTGAAATGCACTGAATTAGATATATTTTGTTTTTTCTTATTTTCAAGAATTGGAATGTAATAAATTTTTGAAAAATTCAATCTAAATGTGAATAATTGATTATAAAATAGATACTGACTTGAGGAATGCTTGATAGTCATCACAAATTACTTCGCAGCTTGGCCATTTACATACTCCATGGCCATAGAGAGGATGAGCCTTGTCATGACAAGAAACATCTAGAGGTTTTTCATCAATTGTCGTTCCGTTGACGTCAGATCGTCGAGTTGACGATATTGAATTAATAAGTCCTAATAATAACATCAAGTATGAATAAAAAATGTTGATTTATCAAAAAAGTTTATATGATGAAATTCAATGTACCATTCAGTCCTGAAGCAGCTTTAGAAATATTCGAATTTTGATGACTTTCAGAAGCTTCTGAAGATTCAGATTTCCACGTTGGCATTGACTCATTTGATAAATTCCCCGAAGAATGATTGTGACTTTGAAGACTTAATCCTTGTTGAAAGAGATACTGTCTCTGTGTCATTTGAAGTTGTTGAATAATCTGATGTTGTTGAACTCCAAGTTGTTGAAGAGGTACTGAAGTTTTCTTCTTATCTGCTGTCTGCAGAAGGTGTGTCTGTTGGATAAGATTCAATTGCAATTGTTCTTGTAGCTGTTGCATATTTTGTTCCAATTGTTTTCTTCCTAATTCAGCCAGTTGATGTTGATGCTACATTGATTAATGAAAAACACAAAATCATTACAATAGAATAAGGAAACAATAAGTGAATGATACAGATCGAGTCAAGAGGGTAAGAAAAAAGTTCGTCACTTGGTGAAATAAAAGAATAGCAGATGCAAAGAATAACGCCTGCTTCTTTTATCAGCGGTGATGAATAAATCAGGAGGGTGGCCAGTGAGAAGCAAATGGTCGGATAGGGTGGACTGACAAGAAGGAAAGAGAATTAAGAAGAAAAGGGAAGTAGGAGAAGAATGAGAAGGATGAAGAGAAGAAGGGGAATGAGCAAAAGAGAGGATGAGAAGCATTTTATGGGATACCTCGAAGACAAACAACGAGACACAACGGCTGACAGCGTCGTTTAATTGCCCTACCCACTCTCTTACCTTCATTCTTTATTTTCAACTTTTTTCTTATTTTTCAGACTTCGTATGGTTTTGGTTTTACTGTAATCCAACTAAAAAGCATCATCTAATTTTTACAGTTATGCAACTAATAAAAGAGGTCTTGATAATTTTATGATCTCCAATTTTTTTTATAGACTCAATGAAATAGTGGAGATGTTGAAAAAATATTTACAGTTATTTTTCAGTAAAAAAAAAAAAATATTAAAAAAATTGATTTATAAATTTTAGTACTATTATTTTAATGAGAAATAGCTTGGAGAATGCAATAAACTGAATGGTTGGTTATCTAAATACTTCAGCTAGTTGTGGAGACTAGATAAACCGCTGAATAAATATTGAATGGTCAAGAGAAAATATATGCAAACCCTCACTCACTTCTCTTTGGGTTTCTCTGTGGCTTATTCTCCATTAGAATTAATCAATCATTTCATCAGCATTATTCCTATGTCGTAGTCTTTATCTAATTGTCACGAATTTTATTTAAAATTTTATTTATAACAATTATTAAACCTGAATTTTTTTTACCAAAACCATCAAATTTATGTATAATTGATAGAGAGTATTATCATGGAAATGATCAAAATTAGAATAAGTATTTGTATACAATAACAAGTTACCTAACATATTCAATTAATTAATTTGAATATCAAGTTTTATTTACTCACGCTTTTCAATGAAGAAAAATAACCACCGAATCTGTCTTGACTCGTGACATGATCAGAAGATGTTTCCTGATAAATAAAAATAAAAAACCAAATATTATAATAAAAAAATGAAACAATGATTCAGCAGTTGATGAATATTTGATAAATGATTAGTAGAACCTGATGATGTTGTTGTTGCTGTTGCTGCTGCTGTTGTTGTTGTTGTTGCTGTTGTTGCTGCTGCTGCTGTTGAAGGTACAGAGTATGTTGTTGAACAAACGTTTGCAGCTGTGCTGGTGTGAGGATGTGTTGTTGAAGGAGTTGCTGCATTTGATGATGAAGACCGCTAGCAGGGCTGAGCATCATCTGTGAGGAATTCTGCAATGGTGGACCACCAGGTGGACCACCAGGCAATTGTCCCTGATTGGGATTAGGGGGTGAGGCTCGATTTGGTGTTTGTGGACTCTGATGTGGACTCGGCTGTGAGCCTGGTGTTCCTGAACAAGGTTGCTGTGATGATTGAGTAATAATTGGTTGCTTTTGTTGGGTCATGGGTGTAGTTGTCACAGAATTCTGCCCAGTAGGGCTAAGTTTTCCATTGCTACGATACTCGATTGTGAAATCGTCGTTTTTTTCTGTCACACTTGATCTGTCTTTGCGTATTGATTCTCTATCCCACAGTGATTCTCTTGTTTGATGTTGCTTCAAAACAGCATATAGCGTTGTTGCCTAGAATGACAGGGATTAGATGTTTGAATGATTGATTTTTTCGTGTCAATTACAAAGTTTAAATAAAGTTTGATTAATTGATGATAATTAAATGATGAAGAACAATTAATTTGATTAAGATTAGAACGAACATTTGATCAGTAGTGTAGGTATCTATGAAAATTTAGTAAATTGTTGCTTGAAGTACGTTTTGAAATGAAATGGGACTTTGAGATTGAGATGAAAAGTTAGTTGAAAACAAGCGCTTTTAAGGCGTCCGTTATTTCGTACAATATTGATCTTGTCTAATGGTATTCGTATTCGATGATGGAATTGAGAGAATGGACAAGACCAACCAAACTCTTGGTTGTTGTCTGACTCACGCGTTAAACTCGTTCCGCTTTCGTTTTGTTTACTCGTTGGGATTTGTTTTATTAAGTTCTCCCATCGACAATTCTGCAAGTAGGTTTTGTAGGTACAAGCATCTCATCATTGAAATACTTTTGTAGACGAAGCGAAACGGATGTTGGAAGTATTTCCTTACAGAAAAGGAATGAGAATGAAAAAGAGAAAGACGACAAGTTCTAACGGAAGGATGTGAATATAGACTTCTATTTCATTCGTCCAAGTATATTATACCAAAAAGACAGAGTAGAGGGTAATTTGCTTAGCTGAAATATCGCAGTAAGATGAATTCTGCGAAAGTTTCTCTACTTTGACTCATATAAAAATACAAAAGTAATTTCATTAAGGAATATCTATTTATATACATACATATGCATTAACTGTTTGACTATTTACTTACTTTTATACTTTTTTATTATTTTACCACAATATTTATGTATGTGTATGTGTATATGTACTTGTACATAAGATACAAGAACATTTGTATAAATGTAGAAAATCAATGTGTGTGTGTATATATTTGTCTTTTCTCCGTGTGTCATTTCTCTTTCTCTCGCTTAGACAAAATTTCAAACGCCAACGCTCACTCGAATCCTATGCTAATCTTATTTGTGTACGATTACGTATGTTTATAACATGCAAAGAAATTCATTTCTAGCATGTTATCAGTGTTTAGTCAGGAGAATCAGGTTTTCTTAACTTAACCAAAACTAAATAAACTCATACTTTTTTTATTTCCTACTAATTCTATCTTCTTTTATTAATTAATTATCAAATTATTATTTACATTTAATATTATTCATTAAAATAATTACTAAACAATTTTTAAAAACACATATTCTATGCATACTAGAAAAATTTTTATTATTCTTTAATTAATTAAAATTGCACTTGCAGACACTAATTGTTTTAAAACTGGAGATTTTAATGAATATACTTTCAAGATATTGCAAATATTATATTTCGTAATGAAAAATGTCTGTAAACCATGGAAAAAAGTAAAATAGATTTTTAAATGAAAGTAAAAGATGTTGAAGAACCATCGAGTTTCAGATAAGAGAGTCTTCTCTAAGATTCTCTCAAGAAAAGGTTAAATAAAGGTTCTCGTAAGGCTGTTGTTGGCTGTTCAGATTTCTTAGCAGCCCTTCTTTTAACAAAAAAAAAAAAAGCTTCATCTCCCTCGTCTTCTTTACCATCGCTCATTTGAATCTTGACTCTATCGAATCCCAAACCCTATATGGCAATAGCAAAGCTTCATATCTTTTATATATTAGAAATGTTACCCCTTTTTACTTTCATCTTGTTTACTATTTGGATTTATTCTTAGCCTTCTTATTGAAAATCTCAGACTATAAGACAACGAATTTAGATGTATTTTTAAGATATATTCATATTTAGAATAAAAATAAATATAACGATGAATTTATTTATTTTTATTTTAAAGATGTGTTGATTTTAAAATTTTAATATTTTAGCATTTATTCAATAAGAAATATTGTATTTTCTAGAATTGATATTTAGTCTTTTTATGCGTGAATGCATTTCTTTTTTTCTTTTTCACACTACGAACACCAACTTCTGATTATGCAAGCGCATGACTGAATATAACGCGATTTAATATTAAAATATTATGACAAACGTCAACAGTTGGCACAAGGATGATGTTAGGCAAGAGAACATGAAGGCTGATTGGCCTACCACGACTGTGTGAATACTAAACGAGATTCGAGACACCTTTATATGTAATATTATAACTAAATTTGTCTATATTTTCATATTTCTTCCATTCGATATCTGTAATTTTCATTTTTAGTCTCATAGTATTTGCAAAGAATATCAAATAGGATATATCCTTGAAGTTTGAAAATTCTTTTTGTTCATCGATGAATTTATTGTTTAATTGAAAGTTTGAAAAAAATAAAATACTGCAGTATTAAATAAAATTAACGATTCAATTGACATTCAGACACGTCCAACTTTGGGGAAATTGTTGAGTGACAATAAAAGTAAAAAAGCATTCGAATGGACATTTGGAAAATAGTATTTTATTCTATTGGAAAAGGTACAAGTGAAGTTTCTCGTCTACTACGTCCATCGTTAACTGTTCAATGTGTACATTATAAATGACCCGGTGATTGGTTCATCAGACTTTACAAAAATTTACTCTTCTATTTTGTATTCTTTTTTTTCTTTATAAATTATTTTTTTTTCTTCTACTGTCTGTCTTGGTTAATTTTTATTTAATTATCAATCTCAATTAAACTTTTATTGATTATTGCAATTCATTTACATTTCTTTATAACTATTTTTTTTTCAAACACTTTTGTTTAAACTATTACTGTATTCTCATGCCTGTATTCACTGTAAATTTTAGTGTTTTATGTTAATACATTAAAAGTGTTTTAATATAACGTCACCCATTTGATTAACATTGTGTCATGTTATATTAAAACACTTTTAATGTTTTAAAACAAAACACTAAAATTTACAGTGTATTATTGTTACCAATCTATAGGCCCTACTTTTTAGGCTTATGTAAATTTATTTAAATAAATAAATAAACAAAAGATTGAAAAATAAAGAATTAAATTTTTCTTTTGTTATAAAGAATGGAATAATTGTAAAAAGTGTATTGTGTATTCAAGAATTAACGCATAAAGATGAGATTGTTGCAGCTGGGGTAAGCGATATACATTAAAACGAGGGTGAAATACATGAAGAAGAGTAATTTCGACATTCTGCGGGTTTGCTTGCACTACTCTTCATTTCAATTTGTAATTGTGATCTGAAAAATTGTTGATCGAGATAAAAAAGTTAAAAGCTCCAAAAAGAAGCTTGAAAAAGCAAACTTTTATTTTATTTTATATATTAATAAAATCTATTGTTATAATTATACGAAGTACATTAGAGAAATTTTTTTCTTTTTTGTAAAATTTGATCTCACAATTTTTCATTAATCGTGGAACAAAATAAAGAAATTTCCAAACTGTTAAAAAGAATTGAGCATTTTAAAAGTGTTTACTGAATTAATTGAAAAGACTAAAGCATTTCTGATAATAATCAATTGAAGTTCGTTTAATTTTTATTGAGTACCAGAATAAATTTATTCCCCACAGTTACTTAACTTAAAAAAAAAAAAAAATTTTTGTGAATTGAGTGGCGTTATAATTGACAGATTTCTATTGGATTTCAAATAAAATAGATAGAGATTAATAAATATTAAATTCCAGAAAAAAACCAAAATTATGAGTAACAAAGAAAGAAAAAAATGAGAAAGTATTTAGTTTAAAAATAGCATTTTCTTTCTGCTATCACTGCTACAATGTTTGATGTTTATATTGGATGAAGAACCGAGTGAATCTCATGTGTATGTGATTCTGTCGTTCTCTTGACATTTGAGGCCCTGTGCCGGCTCGTGAGAACAAGTCATTTATTTGTTTTTATCTTTTTACTCAAACTTTGTTCTCTTTGCACAATTTGTTATGATGAAAATATGACTAACAGAATTGGTAAATTAATAGCATGTAGTTTTAATAGTTAAATAAAGAAAATATTTTGAAATTAGTATGTTTGTGCAGAAAAAAAAGAGTTATAAACAAATATAAAAGTACGTGTTCAAATGTTCTTGAAGAAAGGAGAGATAAAAAAAAAAATATTGAAAAGACGAAGCGATGGAATGCAAAGTAAAAGGAACATGAGAAAATTGAGTGCTGACATGGTATCATCGTTGACGGGGTCTCTTTTTTCCCCATGGTATAGTCTCTACACAGTCCGTGCAAACAAACCAAAATGGACTGCGAATAAATATGCGTTTACGAACTCTCTCGTTTCACAAATGCCCGTATGCTTGGTCATGATCCAGCGGACGCGGTTGCTTTTTCGCTAGGGTTGTTGAGAGCGCGCGAGAATCGAGATTCTGCTTCGAGAGGGGATGGAAAAATGAGCGGGTGCGAAGCAAGCAAGCGCGTGAGGGATTTAGAGACCTTTAATGGAGACCGACCAAGCGTGATACCGTGTGAAATAGGGAATCCACACTTTTTAACACTCCCTTACTTTAATAAAAATTTCTTAAATATTTTCTATTATCGATTTATCGAGATTTCTTTTTCAATAATAAATAACAATTTTTATATAAAAAATAAAATCTTGATTTCTTTTCTTTATTTACTGTGTAATAAATATTTATTAAGTTCAGACGTGTTTTGATTAATAACAAAGTAAAGCCAAAAATGATGTACATTATTCAGACAAGCACTAATTGATACTGAATTATAAATTATCAGCTGGAAGGAAAACATAACATCCAAGAGGCTAAAAATTAATCAAACTTTTTGTTAAATTAAAACTTGCAACCGTCTTAATCTTTCTTAAACTTCAACAACGATTTCATTTTCTCTAGAATGTTTAATAAAAAATATTTATTAATAACAATCATTTTTATTGTAAAGCACTACAAATCTTAGTGTTTTATTTTAAAACATTAAAAGTGTTTTAATATGACGTCATCCATTCGATTAACATTGTAATAACTTTTAATGTACTTAGAAGTGTTTAAAAAGTGACTACAATATTAATTAAATGGGTGACGTTATTTTAAAACGCTTGGAGTGCACTAA